GCTAGACTGGCTAGCAGGCTGCAGGGATCTACCTGTGTCTGCCCCTCCTGCACAGAGACGACAGGTGTAAGATACCATGTTTGGCTTTTTTCCTGGGTGCTGGAGATCTGAACTCAGGTCTTCATTCTTGTGTGGCAACCTCTTCACCGACTGAGCCACCATCTTAGCCTCTAGGCCGGGATTCCTGGGGAAGCGTTGACTGGGACCCAGCATAGGTGTAGACACTTGAGAATGGCTCAAGGCATCCAGCGCAGGACAGGCCACGCTCTGAGAACAGCAGCTGTTCCTGAGGCTGGGAGACGGTGATGAGGCCTTGTAACTTACATAACGGGAGGGAGTGGAGCAGGGGCTTCGTTTAGCTTTCCCAGGGATAGGGCGTTGCCGGGTGGGAGGGAATGGACTAGCTTCTTTAAGACATGTATGCTATCTAGAGACTTCCAGCTGCTTGCTTAGGAAACCTAATCTTGGCCCTGGATGAGAAGGCTAAGAGAGGGTATCTAGATGCCCAGAGAAGATGGCTGGATAGGGGCCCCGTTTACAGGTTCAGACTTAGCATACAGTGAACTGGGAAGAATGAAGTTCTGATGGGTAGTTTATAACAATTGAGCTGAGACCATGGGCAGAAACCTCTTTACTTGCTCCTCTGGATAAGAAAAACAGGATATACACATGCTATGGGTCCCCTGCAACTTAATTTAAAAGTAAGGAACACCTGGCTAAGGACATAGGTGCCATGAGATGCGTGGACAGCCTCCTGTGGGTCTGCCCAACGGTGACTCGGTGACTCGGTGTTAAAGCGCCTGTCTGAGATTTACTCTGGACCTGCCTTTAACAAAGCTTTTGTATGAGTACAGATACTTTCCGTTTAGGGCAGCCTTACCAGCAGCTCCTCCCAGCTTCCTCTGGTGATAGCCGATTCTCTTTCTAGTGGACAGAAACATTTCTAAAAACGTTCTGTGGTCTCTGTTTAGACATAGGAGCCTGAAGTGAGCTCCGAATGCTTTGGACTTGCTGGAGCTGGGACACTGGTGTCTGTGCAGTCTATAAAACGGCCCTGCCTGGGGCCAGGTGCTTTGTTCTCAGTTATCTGAGGTTATCCTTTGTGGTTGACATGATTTTATATGTGCTATGAAATAAAGTTCTTTCACTCATCTGCATATTGCTACCCACTCTTCCCAGTACCCATTGGTGAAGACTGCCCCTTTCCCCATCGAACGGTCTTGCTGCCCTTGTCAAAAATCATGTGGCCATATCTGCAAGGTGTTTTATTCTGGCTTTCTGTACAGTTCCATTGTCAATAGGACTGTTGATGACAAGACCGTGGTGGCTTTGATGGTTCAAGGGAGAAGCACATGGGCTGTTCTTGCAGAGAACCCAGGTTTGATCTCCAGTATCCACGATTACTCACAACCATTTATAACCCCTCCCCACTTCTGGCAGACACACATGTGGCATATAGGCAATATATCCATACACATAAAAGAAACATTTAAAACGATTTTTGGCATCAGACCATGAGTTCTCCGGCTTTATTCGCCCTTTTTATGATCATTTTGAGTTCCCTTGAAATCATATGTGAATTTTAGCATGGGTTTTTCCATGTCTGCAAAGGACATCATTGGAATTTTGATACAAGTTGTACCAAATCTATAAATCCATTTGTGTAGTATCAGTAGATCAATATTAAGGTTTTCAGCCCATGAACATGGACCATTTCTATTTATGTCTGTTTTATAGTTATATCAGTTGTTTACTCTGTTAATAGGGTTCCTTTTGCTCTGATAAAACACTATGACCAAAAGCAACTCGAAAAAGGAACAAAAGGTTTATTTCATCTTACAGCTTAACTGTCTGTCATGCAGAGAAGTCAGGGCAGGAACTTGGAGGCAGGAGCTGATGCAGAGGCCTTGGAGGGGTGCTGCTTACTGGCTTGCTCCTCGTGGCTTGCTTGGCCTGTTTTCTTATATACCCAGGACCACCAGCCCAGGGGTGGGCTCCACCACATAGATCATCAAGAAAATGACCCACAGGTTTGTTCCGGGGCCTATGTGTAGGGTATTTTCTCAACTGAGGGTCCCTCTTCAGAAATGACTGTAGCCTGCATCAAGTTGACGTAAGAACTAGCCAGCACAACGTTCTGGAAGCACAAAACTCCAATTTTTTTTTTTTTTTGTCTTGTTTTCTAGCCTGGCCTTGAACTTGTGATCCTACCTCAGCCTTCTGAATGTTAGTTAGGGTTACAGTTGTGCACCTCCATGCCTGATGCATTTGATTCTGTAATAAGTGGGATTGTTTTTTAAATTTCTTTTCTAGATTGTTTATTAGTAGTATATAAAAATGTGTTTTCTATTACCTTTTATCCTGCTATTTTATTGAGTTGGTTTACTAAAGCAGTTGTTTTCTTTTTTATGCATAGGATGTTTTGTTTTTGTTTTGTTTTTTTCCCTTTTTGAGACAGGGTTGTGTGTGTCCCAGCCTGTTCTGAGACTTGTTATGTAATCAAAGATGATTTTGGATTCCTGATCTTTCTCCTTCTGCCTCTTGGGTGCTGGGATTGCAGGTGTGGGTTATCATACATGTTTAAGTGGTGTTGACCCCAGGGCCTTGTGCTTGCTCAGGAAGCACTGTACTGACCGGCTACCTTCCCAGCACAGATATAAAATATGATCTGTGAACAGAGTTAATTGGCTGTTCTCCCCAGTCACCTTACTAAGGCAGAGTCTTGTTCTGCCCTGCTGCATACGCCAGGGTGGCCCATGAATGTTCTTGGTGATTCTTTCTCTGCCTTCCATCTTGTAGGAGTGATGGGCTCACAGGTGCGTGCCACCATATCCAGCATGTTTACATGGGTTCTGGGGCTGGGATTCAGGTATCCAGGTTGGCTCAGGAAGCACCTTAACCTGCAATTATATCGGTTTCTGTTCTGTTACCATGATAAAAATACCATGACCAAGGCAACTTAAAGAAGAGAGAGTCTGAGGGGCAGGAGACCTTCGGAGTGGAGTGGAAACATACAGCAACTGGTCGGCATGGTGGCAGGAACAGGAAGCTGAGGCCGTTATCTTTAAATGCTAGCAGGAAGTGGGATGGTTACTAATCTTCAAAGCCCACCCCACGTGACTTTCTCCAGCGTGTTGTGCCTCCTAAACCCTCCTCAAGCAGTGCCAGCAACAGGAGGCCAAGTGTCTAAATATCCGAGCCTATGGGGGAAGTTCTTGATTTAAACCACTACACCTGCTGAGCCATCTCATCAGACCTTTTTTCAATTTGGGTATCTTTTATTTCTTCTCCCTGCCTAAGCACTCTGGCTGCAACTACTGGTACTGTGTTAAACACCAGGGGCCCAAGAGGAAAAGTGGGCGTCTTTGTCTTGTTCTTAACCTCAGAGGTAATCTATTAGCTTTGAGCAGGAAGCCGTGGGCTTTTCATAGGGAGTTTTTTGGGTTTTGTTTTGTTTGTTTTTCAAGACAGGGTTTCTCCATGTAGCCCTAGTTCTCCTGGAACTTGCTCTGTAGACCAGGCTGGCTTTGAACTCAGAGATATGTCTGTCTCTGTCTCCCTGGTGAGCACAAAATACTGCCCGGGTCCTATGAACCTTTTATCATGCAGAAGCAGTTTCCTTCTAGCCCCACTTTTGTTGAATTTTAAAAATTTAAAGATGGATTGCCACAACTGTTTCTTTCTAGTATCAGCTACTAAATAGCTTCGAAGAGACTGGCTTCTGTGGTTACTTCTTAAGGATTAGCACTTGGCTTCCCCTTTTTGCTGTGTTCTCACAGTCTGTTCGTTCTGCCTACCCTGGTCTTCTTCCAGCCTGAGCTTTGGCAGCTAGCTGACTGGGTGAAATAGTAGAACATTCCCATCAACTTGTTTCCCACAAGCCACTTCTGCTTTCATCTACTTTAATCATCCCCAGAGAAAGTGAAAGACAGCTTTGGACGACTGAGTTACATTCACAGTATCTGGAGGTTGCAATTTTGGCCAATGTGGATGAAACCTCTTCATGAGTTATGGAGATAAGCCTACCTTTTTAGAAGACTGGACTGCAGACTTCAAGGATATTGAACTTGTGTTTGAATAAATGGGCTGTAGCTAAGACTAGGATGTAGGTCTCACTGGGATCAGGTGTTCCTCTTTTCCAGGTATTTCTACTTTTCTCTAGGAAATAAAAGCTATTCTAAAGCCAAGTAGGGAGACAAAGTTAGAAGCACTTAAGCAGACGGACATCAAACACCATGAGAGAAGTTTCCAGAGCTTCTCAGTACCCCATGTCTCTCTGCTTGTTGGAACTGAGGCTTTCTGCACTCTGGTGAGGTTGAAACCATGATTAACAGAGTTTTCTTGGCCTTGATTTGACTGGGGAGGGAGGTGAGAGTATTTGAGTCATTGCCCACCAATGGGCTTCTTCCTCCCCTCTTCCCACCCTCTCAGAAATGCAAGCTCTTCCATTTCTTATTTTACCCTGGTAGCTATTTGTCTCTATTTCCTATAGACTGGAAATATAAATTCCAGACATGTACTCCGCTTAACAAAATCCTACCACAATAAAATAGTTTAGCTGTCCTTGGAGTTTGTTATAATGGAATTTTACTTGTATTGTCCTGGCTGGGGAGAAAAGTAAACTTGTTAAAAGGAGGGATGTGATATGGCAGCCAGGGAGGAAACAGATGGCGTGCCCTACCCCCGCCACTTGGAAAACACATCACTTATTTCTAGCACTTTCTTTTGGGTCCTAGAACTGTTTCTCTTTTTTGGGGTGAAGAAAAAAAGTGTTTCTAGATTTCCTTTTTCTATTTAAAATTCCAGACAGAGACATAGGGGAAGAAAAAGGCACTACTCTTCTTGTTGGCTTAAAACCTAATCCAGGTAACTTAGTGGCTTACTTTGGGAACATGGTTTCTCCTACAGAAGTAAAGAGACCAACATGTTTTGACATGCGTGCGGAAAACACAGCAATGAGTGGGCTGCTGGGAAGACACCTCAGAGACTCCAGGCGCTCTTGGAGGCTTTGTTGTTTGTATCTTTATTTCAGAGTCTGGGCCCAGAGTCTGGGGAGAGTGGGGTACTAAGAATTCGACTTCAGGAAGTAGACAAAACTCAGTCAAGCACTAACATCTTGCAAACTAGGCAGGGGCCTTGATGGACGACTGTAGGAGCTGGTTCCGGTCAAGAAAGAGGGGTGGGAACTCACTGTCCTCCGAGAGTGTGTCGAAGTGATGCTTAGGGCGAAGAGCCAATTCTAGCAGTAGGAGGAGCCTGGGGATACAGGGAAGAAATGAGACCTTTTAACTGAGTGAGCACCTCCTTTAGGACCAGCCTCATGGCTAGGCAGCCCCATTGTAGGGTAACATTGGGGTGTCATGGAATGAGCCAGAGGCAGAGCCCAGGCTGAGTGGAGGGCTGGGGTGCTCTTGGGAGGTTTCCAGCCACATAACAGGAGGTAGAAGTCTCTTCTTTCCCTCTTTTCCCTACACCCCATATCAGGACTGAGTCAGGGGGCGGGAGAGATCTGAGATTCGAGGTACCTGTGTATTCCCAACATTCTCAGATCTAAGGGACACTACAGATGTTGTGAGGACTGACCACTGGCCCGAGGCAAGCTAAGTAGTAACCTGTTTTTTTTTCTTTCTTTATGACTTCTAACCCAATTATCTTAAAAAAAAAAAAAAACAACCATTATTGTTGTTTTGGTTCATGGGACAAAGAAAGGAGACCTTACGGTAGTCTAAAGAGCTTATAGTGCAGGCACCTGAGCAGTGAGGTAACCCAATATACTTGGTGAGGTCCATTTTCGGTGACGGGTCCTGGCACATCCCTCTCCAGCCCAGCGGACTGCACAGCTTCCCCTTTTGGACCAGCTCCAGTTTGCATGGGCCTAGGACCTTGGGACAGATCCTCGTGTTGCCGGCCTTCTGCTTCTTCTCTTCTATCTCATTCTTCAGCTTTTTGTTCTCTTGCTGCAGATGGACCATGACATTGTGGAGGTGGCTGTAGGAAGGAGAGGGAGGTGAGGCAGGCAGGCAGAGTCACAGGGGAGGGGGAAGGAGGGCCTACCTTTTTAGAGCTGGGTTCTTACATATGCCCTGTGTCCCATTGAAGCAGCTTAGACCTGAGCGTGAGGAAGACCCAGGCAGAGGATCACTCTGCCAGCTCAGTGAGGAAGACCCAGGCAGAGGACCACCCTGCCAGCTCCAGGCCTCTCATTTATACTTTTGATGGGGACAATTAAGCCTGTTTTGGAAGGATTCAGTTTGACAAATGATGGAAATCGGATAGAAGAACCAGAAGGCTACTCTGGCCACTTCTCACTTTGGATGCCCAGAGCTTTGTCTGGGAAGCACTCTCATTAAAGCCAACACTCTAGATCTTCCCCTTTTTGAAGAGGAGAAAGTACAGGGTTTCTGGCTCTGTTGAGAACATGGCCAATTTTTTCTTCCCATTTTACAGATGCACTGGTAGTGTTCTACCACTAGACTATGTCCCCGGCGCTTTTTTCCAATTTTTAATTTTTGAGACGAGGTCTTACTAAATTGCCCAGTCTTGTCTTGAAACTGGATCAATCGCCTAGGGCAGGCCTTGAACTTACGGTGGCCTGTGTCACTGGGTAAGGGGCCTTTGAGATTATGACAACTATTATTTTAGCTAAATCTTTTCATAAAATGCGTTTCCCTCCTTTGGAGAGTGTCCTGGTCCTTTTTAGAGCAATCACGTGACAGGACGGCTCCTCAGCCTCATCTCTGGTCACACGCTTTATCTACTTGCTCTCTGAAAAACTGGCCCTTTCTTCTGTAGTTCCCCAGTCCATGTGTCCCTAGGCAGGATTAGTATGGACCCTTCTCTACCACCATTGTATGTGTGTCCCCTACATTCCAAACAGCCCACCCTACAACCACCTGGCCTTGGTTTCTTACTCTCCATTCGCAGTGGTTCTGTTCTCCCTTTCAACCCATTATCCAACGTAAGGGAAAAGCCCGGGATGGAGCTTGCTCCCAGGAGCCACAAATGGGTTCCAGGTGTCAGACATACCGACACTCTCAGCCTTCACAACAGAGCTTGAGACAACTGCTGCTTCAGCCAGTGTTGCCACATGCAAACCCTCTCCAGACCTTCCTGAAATGTCAAACATGGTAGTCTCTATGTTCTCTGGAAAAAGCCTGGGAATCTCTATCCTAGGCCACGTCACCGCCTGAACCTCACCACCTCCAGGATTCTACTTTTAGACACTCATTTCTTCACCTCTGTTCTCAAATTCCCTACACGCCCATGCCTCACTTCCAGTGGACAAACCATTGACCAGGCGGTGAAGCAGGCTCACGGGGAGAGCAGAACCCTATGTACAGGGGTCTTGGTTTCCTGGGGGGCTGGTAAAGCAGAGGAACCTTCAACCTGGATTTCTTGCCTTGAATTGTTCTACCGGAGAACCATGGCTTCCTTGTGCATTCGTTCATGGACCTCTGTTCCAATCACTTAGTCCCTACACACAGCCTGTCTGTCACTGCTCATTCCTTTCTTAATGCCCTCAGCCTCTGAAACCCACAGGAGGTGAGTGGAGGAATTCGGGCAGTCCCTCACTTTATTGTACCATTGAGGGAGGGAATTAAAGGTCCAGTGTAGTCAAGTGACATGCCAGTGTTACAAAGCAACTGTTTCAGCTCTCAGGGTCTATCTGATCTTTGTTTTTTTCCCTGGGAGTTAGTCCCCATACAGAATGTCAATCAACCAGGGGTGCTCCCAAGAGGCAACCGTCCGGGGAGGATGACTTACTCCTTCTCGCCAGTCAGCTTGGCGATGTATTTAACCTGTTCTCGTAGCTTGTTGCCCAACTTCTCATTGGCAATCCTGTAACAAAACACACAGGGGAGGAATGACTCTTCCCTAGATCTGCTGACCGATGGGCACTGGGTCTTCCTGGCAGGGTTTCTGTTGGTTCCTTGGCCCTCACATCAATCACCTCTTCCCTGGAGGGAGAGCCTTGCCAGTCACTAAGGACTCACAGTCAGCTGATTCATTAGTCTGCAAGGGAGTGGGTTCCACGTGAAGTTGGACCCCCAACTTGGGAAGAGGAAGCTTGTACCTCATGGAAACGGGCCCTGCATTGGATGCTACTCTGTTGCTATGGAAACGGGCCCTGCATCGGATGCTACTCTGTTGCTATGCTGCAGGCTTTGCAAGATGGCCTGAAGGGATGAGACCCCTTTGTCTGATTCTCAGTTCCTGTGTGTGAGTGAGTTCTCGGGCAGACACGTGTGACTGACTTGTCACTGTGGTTCTCAGTTCTTCCTGGCCTTGGGACCCACCCTACTTCTGTCTCAAAGACTTACTTCTGCTCCTTTGCCCATTGCTCCACGTTGTTTATAATCTGGTCGTTATCCCGGTGGTGCCTATAGGTCTCTTTGGGCGCTGGCTTTGAAGGCAGGGGGGTTGGCTTTGCATACGAGAAGAAAACAAGACTATAAGATATGAGAACACCAACTGCTACCTCCCTCCCCCAAATATGGATTCTTCTTTGTGAGAAAAGAAAAAAAAATCAACTCTGCTGATTTTTCCAATCTGAGGCCAGAGTTGCTACATGCAGGACGTGTGGTCCTCATAGTGGTGACACCTCTGAGGATGTGTCATTCCTGGCAGACATATACACTTATAGCAATGACTCTCAGGCTAATGTCAGTGAAGTGACTTGTTCGAAAACAGTAGTGTTCTGAGCCAACATCACAGCAAATGGAAGAAAAGAACCAGGAAGAAGAGATGCTTCTGTTTAATTTGAGCAAGGGCCCTGTGGCCACCCAAGATGTCCCCAGACATGGCCCTGCTCTGGTTCCTGGATGTGTGGCTTGTCTAGAAAGCTGCTTAACCACTTGGATGGCAAAATCTGGCAGGGCATGCACAGAGGGCAGCAAACTGGGGAGGGGAGGTGGGGGGGCATGAGTGGAAACTGATGTCTTTTGCTGGGACAAGCCTTTGTCTTGGTTAGGGATAACCCAGAAGTATCGAGATTGCTCCTTGCTGAATGACGCATTCATGTTTGTGTGTGTGTGCACACATGTACACATGTGTGTTCACAGTGTATGTGTATGCGTGTGTGTGCATGTGTGTACCTTGTTCCTGGCATCCACAAAAACTGCCCAGTCAGGAGGGGTGGATAGGAAGTGACAGAATCCAAACAGTGCCCACCTCCTTCTCATCTGCAAGAAGGCTTTCTTTCAGGGCAGCCATTTCCTCCTGGAATTCCCGGAGCTGTGTCTCCTTAGCTGCCAGCATCTTAAGGTCACTCTGGTGCTGCCTCTGCCACTGCAACACCTGGTTACTCATCTCCTCCAGTTTCTTGTCAAAGTTGTGCACCTGTTCAGGAGTGCAAAGTGAGGGGAGTGGGCAGGGGCAGGTCCAGGCAAGGAGAAGAGTACCCTCTCTACCCTGGAAGAATTGCTTGGGGGTGGGGTGGGGTGGGGTGGGCGGTGTGCCTTTTATTTCCAGTGACCAGCAGAGGGCGCCCTCGCTCTGATCTTCCTGCCTGCCCGTCATTCCAGAAGCAGAGAAGGTGGAGTGAACCCAGCAGCCAAAGGGTATGGCTGAGTGCTAAATAATTCTGCCTGCCAAAGGTGACCTTGCGGACCTGTAATAGGAAGGGAGCCCGAGCGCCCCCTCCACCTCGGCCGCTCACCTCTAGCTCACTCTGCTGTTGGAAGCCCTGCAGTTTTTTTAACTCCATATTGAGCTTTTTCATCCTCTCCTCGTAAGCCGCGATCTCATCTTCCAGCTGCGCTTTCCTCTCCTGGGTCTGTTGCAAGCTGCGCTGCAGGCTATATGTCTCGGAGGTTGCATGAGTGAGCTTTCCGCAAAAACAGAGTGGATTAGAGTGGCCTCCAGAGAACCTTGGTCTTCTCTGCTGAGTGTTTAGTATAGAAGGTTCCAGGCCTTCTCTGTGGTGGTGCCCATGGTCAGGTTGCAGGCGGTCCAGAGGGAAGGGGAGGGATAGCAGGTGGCTTTCTACACCTCCCTTCCCAGTCTTTCATCCTTTCTCACTCTAGTTTTCTACTCTGATCCACTGATCTGTAGACATGACCACCAGAGCGGGGGCAGAGATTCCCCTAACAACCCAGACTTTGGGAAAAACCCTGTCTGTGAATCACCAGTAAGTGGGAAGACTGGTTAGATATTACCACCATCTCTGCCACCCTACAACAAATATGAGGACAACTACATATAAAACTAAGAGAATGTAGGCCTTCAATGGGCAGACAGCCCTGCCCAGGCAAGGGTTAAAAAGCACCGAGGACTGTCAAGTCATATAAGAAATTGACTCCTGTCCACTCATAGCTCCCGAATTTCTTTGAATACTTCCTTGGCAGAGAGTAGGCGTGGCCTCACCTTCTCCAGGGCCTGTGTCAGGTCGTCCTGGCAGGTGCCCGACTTCCGCAAGAGATCCTCGTAAGTGTCTTTACTAACCATGTTCTGGAAGCAGTTCTTCTCTTTCTGTATAGCTGAATCCAGCTGTGTCTGCAGAATCATGATGGAGTCTTTCTGGCGGGCTATCTTTAGGGAATAAGAACATCACTATCAAGGCTGTCCCAGGCATGCGCAGATGGTGACTGTAGGAGGTAAAGGAGAGTTGGGCTCTCGGCCATAGCTGTTGACGTTCATGCTTACGTCTCCACCTCACCGATATGAAGTGCAGAGCTCCTTCTAAGCTGCCCTGTATCTCCCCAGCTACATTTCTCTTTATGGCTACCATATCGCCAATATTTAAAAAAAAAAAAAAAAAAAGCACTGGGACCTGCTAAATACACGAAATATGTTTCACAGATGCAAAGGTGTCATCTGTCTGGGCTAGGGGAGATAGCTCAGTCCATACAGTGCTTTCAAGGACTTGAGTTAGATTCATAGAACCTGTTTTAAAAAGATGGGTCTCAGGGCTGGAGAGATGATCCAGGGAAGACCCAAGTTCAATTCCTGGTTCTCACATGGTGGCTTACAACCATCTGTAACACCAGTTCTGGGGGATACAATGCCTTCTCTGGCCTCTGCAGGCATTGCATGCATGTAGTACATAGACATACATGTAGACAAACCATACATATATGTAACATTTTTAAAAAATGATGCTGGGTATGACAGTATACTTATAATTAATCCCAGTCCTGGGGAGATTGAGACAAGTAAATCCTTGGGATTCACAGGCCAAGCAGACTAGACTATTTGTTGATTTCTAGGTCACTGTGAGACCTTGTCTCAGAAAAGAGAGAGAGAGAGAGAGGACGGATAAGGAATTACCTGAAGTTGCCTCTGGTCTCCACATACACACGCATGTATATTCACAAATACCTGTGTGCACCTGTACACACGCATATATAGAACCCAAAACTAGATCATAGATATGATACAGCATTCCACCTACCCAGCTCTGTTTGTATTTCTGTCATTTCTGCCTCCTTGTTGAACCGCAGAGCCCAACACAGAATAGCCACACAACGGTCGTATAATAAACCTTAAGGTTTTGGTCAAATGAAAAGTTACACTGTCTAGTTAGAGATTCAAATATCTTATGGTGCAAGGGGGTCCTTACTGAACACAACTTTGACAGAAGTATATTTAAAACAACTCTGCATCCTAAACTTGGCAACCAGTAGACCAGAGTGGTTAAAGGCAGTTGAGACGTGGAATCACAAAATGTGGGTTGAGATCCAGGTACTGTTGCTTATTTCTCAGGCCCCCCCAATCCTTTCTTCACAGGCTGGGGACCTATCAAGTCTTCCACGTGGTTTGGGATGACCAAATGAGATGACACGGTATAAACAGGCTTTGTAGTGTATCGACATCACATGGATGTGAAGCACCATGAATGGTGGGTCGTCTCCTCTCTCCTCGTAGACTTTAAGTTCAGGACAGAGATCTGTTTCTAAGTCTGGAGGCAGAAGGGAGACTTTAAGGATGAGTAGCCACTCAGCCATCCTCGATTCCAGGCTTTGTCCCATGGTCTGTCCCTCAGCCAGTCTTCTCTAGTACGACTCTGATCTCCACATCCTCCTAACGGGTCTCCCTCATAGCTACGCTTCCCTCTTGCCCAACACATTTCCATGCAACAGTCAGAGTTCCGGGTGTCTCATCCCTTTGAGGAAATCCCCTCAATGGCTTTCCATTGTTCTTAAAAATACAGCTCACAATTTCTTAACTACACTGGCCTCATTTCATTTCTTAGATTTCTTTAAGTATGTATTTCTTTAAGTATGTAAGAGATTAAGATTCTTTAAGTATGTAAGATTTCTTTAAGTATGTAAGAGAGACACGTGATACACTCAACAGGAGTCAAACTAGAAACACAAAGAGGAGGCATGACTGTGATTATTTCAGCTAGAGTATTGAGTTGAGGAGAAAGGTGGTATCATCTTGGCAGTAAGAAGAAGGCACTTGGGCTGGTGAGATGGCTCAGTGGTTAAGAGCACTGACTGCTCTTCCAGAGGTCATGAGTTCAAATCCCAGCAACCACATGGTGGCTCACAACCATCTGCAATGAGATCTGATGCCCTCTTGTGGGGTGTCTGAAGACAGCTACAGTGTACTTATAATAAATAAATAAATAAAGTTTAAAAAAAAAAAAGAAGTAGGCACTTGACACAATTCAACACCTGTACTGACAAACCTCTTAGTAACTGAGGCACTGAAGGAAGTTGATAAAGGCTGTACCACGCCCATCGGGTGCACTGTACTGAAGTGGCTGCATTGGCATTAAGAGCAAAGAACGAGGTGCCTGCTAGAACTGCAGCCCGTCATCGTACTGAAGACACCGTCCAATGTGATAAGACAAGACAAATAAAACAAAGATAAATATCACAGAGAAATACTTCGGGGACTGTGCTGTTCACAAATGATTTAATTATCTTACTAAAAATAACTCGTGGGCTGGACGGTGTGGAGCATGCCTTGAATCCCAGCATGCAGGAGGTAGAGGTGGGAGGACCATGAATTTGAGGGACAGCCTGGGCTAGTGAGACCCTGCCTCGAAATAAATGGATTCATTGGCCTAGTGTACGAAAGGCCCGGGGCTTGATCCCTAGCACAGTATAGCATGTACGCAAGCACACACTTTGTGAGAATAAATGGAAAGACGACTATAACTTAGAAGCGATCTTACTGAGATGTTCATAGAATTACTATATACAAATGAATGAGGTTTTATATCAAGATTAAAGCTTATAAAGTACAGTTGGGGACACATGAGACAGTCAAATAAATGCAAATGTTCTTACTACATATTTCCTTGTTTTTCAGATAGCAAAAATTCCAAATAGAATATAGAATATCGATTAAAGGAAGTACATATTTAGGAAGCAAACTTAAGCCCACCTCTAATGGCTGCTATTGATTCAGTCGACCTATCCCATCGATGCAAAATGCCTTTTCAAAAGTTGAGCATAAAAAAAAGTTGAAAATGCTCACACACTAAAAACAAAACAAAAACAAAACCAAACAGCAAAGCAAAACAGAACAAAACAACCAGATCTCTTTTTACTTTTGGAGAAAAGGGATTCCAATATTGGTGCTCTTACTTCCTGGAGTCTTGTCTTCTGAAGGAGCAAATATGGAAGAATACCTGGGCTGTACACTATGTAAACTCAAAACTAGTTAGTATTTACAAGTACAAGGTCAGTTCCTCAGTTCTCAGGGGCAAGATATGGCTGGTGGTGACATCACTCAGACATGTGACTTCTTTGTTACCACCATGGGTCACAAAGTGCTGCTGGGAAGTGTTCAATTTAAGCTTAGAGTAGTCCTGCGATTTTGGATCTTTTTGTATTATGAAAGAGAGGCCTGGGTTTTCATTTATAGCTCAAGAGACTGGTCTTCTAAGTACTATGTATTTTTTTTTTCTTGTCCAGAAAGGTATAATATATTCCGCTGGGGAAAGCATCACCGTGTGTGCTGGAGAAAAAGGGCGTGCGTCAAAGTTGGATGATCCAGGTTCAAACACTGGCACATCCCATCACTTACTAATTAGTGGCCCTGGGATTCGGCCTTTCTCTCCTTTGTAAATGAGGGATCACAGTAATATATACTCTGTTAAGAGGGAAGCAGACGGAGGAGGGTAGATCGCAAAGAAAATGAGACAATGAGCGAATTCAAGCGCAGCTCCTAGAAGATGTCACACCTCCATGCCTTTCATCTGCATAACGAATCGAGAGTCGGAATCAAATGCCCTCGTCCAGCACTTTTTTGATGCTTTCCAATTAGGTTTGAGAATGTTCCCTCTTAAGTAGTTCCAAACAACGAATTCAGAGTTCTTTGTCTAATTTGTAACGTTGGAAGATTTGGTGGAACATTTCAGGTAGTTTGGGGCAGGGTTCCCCATGTACAAAAAGAAATCTATTACTTACGGAAGAAGCTCCCCCCACCCACACCCCCCGTCCCCCGCCTTGGATATGAGGGTCCATAGCCACCTCCCTCACCTGTTAAAAGCCATGAGATGAGCTGTCAGGGCCTGCGTGCCTGTAGTCAGTGAAGGCAGAGAGAGGAGGGTCCCCTCTTTGGAGCTGTTTCTACTCACCTCCATGTTGAGCTCTTGGATGACTTTCTGGGAGTTGTTGTATTTGTTGAGCAAGGAGTCCAGGTGTGAAGAGCAGGAGTTCAATTCCGTCTGGAGGTTCTCCTTCTCCTCTTCCAGCTTCCTCAAATGTTCCTTTGCCTGCTCTCCCATTAAACAGTGAAGCCCACCCCGATCCCCGGATAGGGGTTAATCTGAAACTCCTTCCCCCACTTCCCTCCCCTCCTCTGCCCTGTGGCTCCTCCCCTTCCCTCCCCTCCTCTGCCCTGTGGCTCCTCCTCTTCCCTCCCCTCCACTGCCCTGTGGCTCCTCCCCTTCCCTCCCCTCCTCTGCCCTGTGGCTCCTGCCCTTCCCTCCCTTCCTCTGCCCTGTAGCTCCTGAGCTCTCCTCCTCTCCTCTCAACTGGTCCCCTTCTCTGCATCCTCTGGAGACCTCTGAGCTCCTCGGCTGTCTGGCTGCCACCCTCTTGGCCCCGCATCCACGGTCTGGTCTTCCCAGGTCCTCTCTCTAATTCTCACCATCTTCTCTTTCCTTTTCGCTTCTTGTCGCAAAGCCTCGATCTCTCCCTCCAGTGCCTTTTCCTGTTCCTTGCTCTTCTTCAGTTGCTCTCGTTTCTCCTCCAAGAGCCCTTTTATCTCCTGAAGTTCCTCTTCTAGCTTCCTTATGGAGTTTGCTAGCTCCCTTTGCTGAAAGGGTGCGGGGGTGGGGGTGGGATGGGGGGGTTGGGGGTGGGAGGTGGTGGGGAAGACAGTTTCCATACTATTATATTTGGGGAAAGAAATCCAGACAGTTCTACACAAAGGAGGGGACAGTTCTACACACTTCTCAGCAAGTGTGGTCAGAACATTTGCTTTAATGCTCTGTAAACAACTAAACCAATTTATGTATGGGTCCAGCTGCTATAACGGCGACCTTCTTGCCCACTTGAGCAACTCTTTCCATATAAACTTCTTTGAATAAAAAGCAAAGGAAGCACAAAAGGGATGCATTGGGGATCAGAGACTTTGAACTGATGGACAGAGGCGGCCTTGCGATCATCAGAAGAGCTGGGGATCTAGGTCAGGAGGGCGAGCATTTACTGCAAGCAAGCAGATGAATGAGCCAGTCCTGGTGGTTTGAATGAGAAGGGCCTTCATAGGTTCCTGCATTGTTCCCAGTTGTGGGCACTGTTCTCAGGGGAAGGTTAGGAGGTGTAGCCTTGTTGGAGGAAGTACGTCACTGGGAATGGGCTTTGAGAATTTAAGACCTTATCCTATTTCTGGGTTGTACTTGTGGTTCATGTTGAAACCTCAAATCATCCTGTTCCAGCCAACATGTCTTACCAAACCCTCCTCCCTGCTCCCCCCCTGCCCCACCATGATGGACTCGAACCCAATGCAACATAAACCCAAATAAGTTTCTTGGTCATGCCATTTTATAGCCAAGTAACCAATGTGACAATGTGATCTGCATTGCCCTCTGGTTATTTTTAAACAGAGTCTTTGAAAACACTTACTGTTGGCCATGGGAACTAGCTCCTAAGTGGCTGGCATAGCAGTCTAACACAGACTCTGGAACATTCTAAAGACTGAACTACGTGGCCTCAGGCGGGACAGGCTGCCTGCCTGCTCTCTCACCTTCTGCTCAGAAACTTTGGAACTATGAAGCAGCTCGTTTATTTTTTGTTCATCTTCGTTCAGTGTCTTCTGAAGTAGCAACTTTTCCTTCTCTGCATTCGAAAGCCTTCTCTGGCCTTCACTGAGTTCTGAGCTCAGTTCCTGCAACTGTTGCCTACAGCAAGGCGATCATAGGAGGAGCTTCAGGGCCTGTGGGGATGGGCTGTGGAGATGGTCCCACCCTAGGGCCTGCCATCTCACTACCCTCCTTCTGGGCAGCTGCCAACCTATGGTTCAGAGACTGGGGATGGGGCTGGGGCCAGGGCTGGGGTTGGGGTACCTGTTGTGTTTTCGTTCCTCTTCAGTTTCCAAAGACTCCTTCTGCAGCTTCTGTACCTGGCTCTGCAGATCCTTAATGACATCGTCCTTCCGCTTGTCCTGGAGAAGGCAGTTCTCGATTTTCCGGTGAGCATCCTCTAGGTTGCTTGCAGATAGGTGGGCTTCCTCCTTACACTGGGTTAGATTCTGATCTGAAGAAGCCAAGGAGGGCTCCGTGTGAGAGGAAGCATGTTGAATGCTTGTCAGGACTCATTAAAGATTTTTATTCTGTGACATACTTCAGTTCTCAGCCTGTCTTCACTCCCCTCGCCTGATGCCATCAGGAATTCTGCTACCTTCTGTCTGTCTTCAACTAACCTTTAGCCATGGATTCTTCCCTGACTAAAATGAAACGAATTGCTAAAACTGTATCTCCTGTATCATCCTGGGATTAGGGACAAATCCCAGTCCTCAAGGAGTTTAGTCTGGTAAGTACTATGATTACCCATCGAAATACAGAATGTTATTTATTGATTTAGTTTTTTGGTGCTGGGGACCAAACACATGCAAAGCACATGTTCTACCACCAAGATACAACCTGGCCTGAGAACTCTGCCATGTTAAACTCACCCTGCCCATAATGGACTCAGCCGTGACAGCTGGGAATGGACTTGAGTGGAGGGAGAGAAGCTGATTCAGACTTAGGAGGAGGAAGAATCTGTTCTAGGGAGGGGATTATTGGAACACACATGTTGTGAAAAGCTTGCTTGCAGGAGAGGGAGGATTAGTTGAGCTGGCATGGAAAATGGGAGGGATGGTTGGCTGCAGCCGAGCAAGAAGGTAGATAGATCGGAGGACGATCAGAAGATTGACAGCCTGAGAGAAATGCTTAGACTCAAAGCAGCAACCAGAGACCCAGTGTAGGGGAAAAGATCATGTTAGGAAAATCACAGTGCAAGTTGGGCTTGGTGGTGTAAATTGGAGGCAGAGGCAGGAAGAGCTTTAGGGAACCAACCTGGTCTACACAGTACGTTCTAGACCAAATAGCCAAATAGCATGACTCTGTCTCAAATAAATAAAGACAGACAAACAGGAATGTATTTGATTGGAGAAGACTTCCAGCAATACCCTTCCATCCCCCTGCCTCCACTGAGGGAAGTGGCCTGGTTGAGTTGTCATTGGGGATTTATTTATTTATTTATTTATTTATTTATTTATTTTGGTTGAGTGTGTTCCCTCACCCTACTCTTGCTTAAACACAGTCTGCCCATTCTTTTCTTGAAGTGTCCTGGTCTGGGATACTAGGAAGAAAGATGGTGTCAGTGAAGAAGGAATCATCTGTTTTGTAAAAAGGGGTCAGGAAGATTTAAAAAAAAACCAAACCCAAGCACAGAAGAGATTATTTCCAGTTTGGAAGAGCTGAGGGGGCCATGGGGTGCGGAGGAGATGCCGTCCTTCCAAGGCAGGGCTGATCACAGCTGCAAAGTTTCTGATCACAAAGTCTCTTTAAAGAATGACTATGGATCCAGAGAGGATGGAGGCGGCGCCTGGCGGGATGGAGGACTCTGGTCAGGGCGTGGAGACAAGGAAATATGTGTGAAGTCTGGGTCAGGCTGAGGGGTAAGTCTTCAAAGCCAAGAGATGAGTATGGGTGGCTAATGCTGTCAGGGCAGAGCTAGGGAGAGAGGAGTCGGGCTCTGGATCTTCTATTTACATGGATAACCAATTCACTTAGCATTGGCTGTACCTCTTTAGAGTGCCTAGTGCAGTGAGTTTTATGAGCTCTCAAGGTTGTATAACTATCAAGATAAGAACAGTGTCCCTGTGCCAGGTGTGGTGGTGCACGCCTTTAGTCCTGGCATTCTGGAGGCAGAGGCAGGCAGATCTTTGTGAGTTTGAGCCCAGTCTGGTCTTCAAAGACAATTCTAAGACAGGCAGGACTGTTACACAGAGAAACTCTGTCTTGAAAAAACGAAAACAGCCGGGCGGTGGTGGCGCATGGCTTTAATCTCAGCATTTGGGAGGCAGAGGCAGGCGGATTTCCGAGTTCAAGGCCAGCCTGGTCTACAGAGTGAGTTCCAGGACAGCCTGGACTATAAAGAGAAACCCTGTCTCGAAAAACCAAAAAAACAAAACAACAACAAAAAAAAAACCGAAAACAAACCAAAACCGCTCTGAAAAACATTGTCATCATCCCGAAGAAACCCTGTACCCAAGGTGAGAAAAGATTGGCGAGCGGAGAAAGCAGTCTCCTCAGAGAAGCGAGCACATGCTACAGAACAGAGTGTGTTTGGAAGCTAAAAGGAGTGGGTAGGATTGAAAACAAGGGAGAGGGAGCGAGAGACAGGATGCGTGGTGAACACAGAGCCAGAATGTTCTGTCAGGAAGCGAATGCAGAGCCCTGTCCTCTGGGGCATTCATTCATCTGAGGTGGCTGAGGAAATGGTGGGACTAGGAGGCTATAGCAGGGGCTTCAGAGGGGTTCTGGGTTTAGAGACAAGAGTTCAGGAGAGTTGAAGGAACTGCTGGGAGCTTCAAGATGAAGAAGCCTTGGGGGTGTGGCGAGAGAGGGTTGGAAGAGTGGTGTGGCAGTGTGAGCCTGGGTCTCACCTGACACCTTCAGCTGCTCTCTGGCTTCCTCGAGACTCTCCTTCAGCTTCTGGATCTCGGCCCGCAGACCTTCAACGTCTACTTTGGATGTGCTCTGCTTCACTTCTTGGAGGTTTGCGTCCAGTTCTTTTGTTGTATCCTGTAGCTTCTCTGTCTCCACCTCTTTTTCTTTGAGGGTGTTCTGCATCTGTGCCAGTTTCTTCTCCAGCTCTTGCAGCCTCTCATCCTTGTCTTGGAGCAACTGAGGATGACAAAGAAGGGATGCTGGGAGAGGCCCAAGTACCAGCTATTGGTCCCGTTACAAGTTCTATGGAATCTTTGCACGCCACCTGCATGCAGTGCTGGGATGTCCCAAGAAGCTTCTACCAGGGCTCCTTGCTACCATTTTGGGTTTCCTCAGGCTATTTTTACTGAAGCAGCCAGATGTGAACTTTCAGAGTGCCAGCCGGAGCTACCTATGTTCAAAACTCTCTGCTGGCTCCATTCTTACTTAGAAAAAGGTCCAAGTCTTTATAGCCACATCCCAGGAGGCTCATGATTTGGTCCTACTTAGGTTACCTGTCTGGCTTTGCAACCAGGAACCCACAGGCTAATCTCAGCTTCAGCTAGCCTCCTGGACCTGGAGGGTCTTTGTACCTGCTGTGCCCTCTGTCTGGACTGTTATTCCTTAAGACCCCTGCCTTCAGCTCTCTCTCAGAGTATTAGCCCTGGTAGTTCTGTCCCTGTGTTCCAATCTCTGCCCAGTGTTGACTTATCAGAGAGGTTCTCCATTACAACCCAATACAACAGTCACCAAGCTGTTTCAGGGATTTGTCAGTCTCCACTGCAGCTCTTTCAGGGTTAACATGTTAATTTTGTGACTCGGTGGTACCCATCTGCCTGTGCAACATGGTATGAGTGCTGTGAGGATAGGGTGGTAGCATGTTTCGTGGTGTATGTGTCAGTGTGTAGAACTATGTTTAGCATGTTGTAAGCACTCAAGAGTGCTGAATGAATGCAGGTATAGACTCCTTTTTTTTTTTTTTTGCTCCACTTTCCTGGATGCTTCTATTTTGCCTGGTGGGCTTCAGCCTTATTTTAATACAAGAGGTTTTAATGATGAAAAAAATTAACTATTATTTTTCATAGTGCTGAGGAAAGTACAGGGTTTGGATTGTGCTGACCATCGAGGCTTGTACTGGTTTCAAAAAATCTTCCCGTTCTTGGCAACTGGTTCTCAGCTTTTCCAGGAACAGGTTTATAACAGTAACGATAGACCTCACAGGCTACCACATAGCTCCACTAACATTCCATATGCCCCGATTTATATATGCAAAAGGCAATTGTGAATTTTTGTGTGTGCATGCATGTGATTTGTTTTTGACACAGGGAATCATTATGGAGCCTAGGCTGGCTTTGAACTTGTAATCTTCCTGCCCCAGCCTCCCAAATGCTGGGATTGCAGGCATGCACACCACCATGCTCAGCTTCACATCCTGTTCTCACTTGCTATTAGAAATGCCAAAGAAGTTCTGTGAGTGATGCCTGGCTGGAAGAGTCCTTGGTCTCTATGGTAACTACATGAGGCAGAGAAGCTCCTGGCCAAGAGTGGCTTCACACTTGCCTCCTTGGCTGTTCCAATCAGGACCCACGGAGGGCTGGCTCACCTTGTCCTTCTTTAGGGACAGCTTCTGTGACTCTGTGTACTGTTGCTGCAGATCTTGCAGCCGGTACTGCAGGAAGACAGTCTCCTTGTCTTTCTTCTCAATGACAGATGATGTCTCCTCCCGTAGCCCGTGGAGGTCAAGTTCCAGCTTCATCATGTCTAGTGTGGGTAAGACAGCACTGCTTACCCATCAGAGGCCGGGTGCCCTCCGGCTTCCCAGCTATGCCTCACAGTCCTGTTTTACCCTTCATGATCTTTTTCTTCTGCTCTGACACGGCTTCCAGCTCTGTGCGCAGGTCCTTCACAAGGTTCTGGTACTCTTCCACGTGCAGGCACTGGCTGTCTTTCTGCTCTTGCAGGTGCTTTAGGATCTAAGTGTTGGAAGGGAGCAGAGCAGGATGAGAGGTCAAGGGAATCAAACTCCTTTCTCCCTCCCTCCTTCCCTCCCTTCCTCCCTCCCTCCTTCCTTCCTTCCTTCCTTCCTTCCTTCCTTCCTTCCTTCCTTCTTTCCTTCCATGTTTTCTATTTCTTTAGTGTGTACATGTGTGTACAGGCATGTGTTTGCACGCAGGTGCCAGAGGTTGATTTCCGGTATCTTCCTCAATCATTCTCCATTTTATTTATTTATTTATTTATTTATTTATTTATTTATTTATTTAAGACAGTGTCTCTCACTGAGTCTCACCCACTTGGCTACAGGATCTGTCTCTTGCTTCCTCAGCTCTGAGATCAGACATGTAACTTCATACTCCGTTTTTCCGTATGAGTGCTTGGTGTCAAAGCCAGGCACCTGTGCTTGCATGAGCAAACACTTTTGACTCAACTGTCTCTTTTAACTATTGGGAGGTTGCTTTCTCAAAGGCAAAATGTCTATAGTACAACCTCATGGGGACAAACACCAGAGAAGAGAGAGTATCAGGAGGCCAGTGAGCGGTTGGTGTTCCTCGGGGGTGACGAAAATCTTCTGGACTCGGACAGTAGTGTAACTGTTACCTAATCTTGTGGATATACTAACCACCAACGTGTTTTTATCCATTACATCTCAATCTGACAGACATTTAAAATAACTCATTTTAAGAGGGAAAAGATGACTTACCATGCTCACACAAAATGTCATCCTGGCAACAATATCTAGCTGGAATTTCCAGCTAGGAACCATCCTAGGTACCAGGGAGAGTGGGGCATAGAACACCGACCCACATCCTTGCTGGGGGAAGCTGGTCTTTAGCAGTGAGGGACAGTGTTGATAATAGTGACCTACAGAGCTGACCAGAGGTCGGTGAGGGCTATGGAAAATACCTCAGAGCAAAGCGAGCATGGTGGTGTGCACAGGGTGTGGTAGAAGGGCGAGGGCCGCCTTTGTGAATAGGATGGTGGGTTGACCTTATTGGGAAGGGGATCTCCATATAGGAACTTACTGGAGAAGGGTTGGGGACGGGATGCTGGAATACCTACGGGAGAGCTTTGGTATGAGGACTGATGGGCCACGGTCAAGGAACTAGATGGGGACTCGAGAGGAGGCTTGAGGGGTCAGCTTGGGAGCAGTGGAGCAAGGGTGGGAAGAGATGAAGCGCTCTTGTCCATCCCATTGTGGTGGGGGCAGATTCTTCAAATATTTCCTTTCATTCCAAAGAAGGCATTGCCTTCCCAGTGCCGAGGAGCCAGAGCATGGGGCTGAGGCCTGGAATGGACTGCCTGGCATCCAGCATGCTGAGGGAATTGTTAGGTGATTTTTAAGTCAGTAGGGAGAGCTACAGCATAAAGACAGAGGTGACAGGGGCTGGAGAGATGGCTCACCAGTTAAGAGCACTGACTGCTCTTCCAGAGGTTCTGAGTTCAATTCCCAGCAACCACATGGTGGCTCACAACCATCTGTAATGAGATCTGATACCCTCTTCTGAGGTGTCTGAAGACAGCTACAGCGTACTCATCATATACATAAAATAAATAAAATCTTAAAAAAAAAAGACAGAGGTAACAGCTGGAAAAATGCATGGAAGTCACCCAGTGACCTTGTGTGGGTACTGTAGGGGTTCAAAGACTTAGAGCAGCCCACGCCAACAGTGGGAAGAGGAGGTTTCTGGGAGAAGCTAATGTGCAGACAACACATCTGGACGGGGAGGTGGGCAGAGTTTTGGGTAGGAAATACGAAATGGTGGGAGAAAAGTTGTTATGGCTGATCTTTATGTCAGCTTGACAAGATTTACAAACCTCTGGGCATGTCTATGAGAGTGCTTTCAGAAAGGTTCAGTGAAGAAGACGGCAGACCCACTGGGAATGTTGGGCTGGGGTCCTGGAGTGAATGCAAAGGAGAGAGCAAGCTGGGCACCGACATCCATCTCTCTCTGCTTCCCAACTGTGTATAAAATGTGGCCAGCCACCCCATGCTCCTGCCACCAGGACTCACTGATACGAGGACACATGGCTGCATTCTCAAAGTGTGGGCCAAAATAGACCTTTCTCCCCTTAAGGTGTGCCTGGCCAGGTATTTGGTCACAGCAATGAGAAAAGTAATACATAGTTATTCTTTCTCTCTGCCACTCTGTCTGTCTCTGCCTCCCAAATGCTGGGATTAAAGGTGTGCACCACCACTGCCCTGGGTGATAACTCTTCTAAAAATATTTTACGCTTATACATGTGAGTTTGTGTGGGGGTAAGTGCATGTGGGTACCAGTGCCCATGGGGGTTACGCTCCTGTAGCTGAAGTTACTGGATGGAGATTATGAGCCGTCTCATATAGGTGCTGGGAACTGAACTTGGGTCCTTTGTAACGTGAGAGCTCTTAAGTGCTGAGTCATTTCCTTAGGCCAAGTTTTGATATTGCTTTGAAGTTACAGACTTAGAAAAAGACCAATGGGTTTGCATTGATAACTTTTCCCATCTTTTCATCTCTAGACATAATGTTTGTAGAGTATGAATCTGTCAAGCCAACAGGAGTACTATTATGCCGGGATGAAACCTTAGAAGTGGATTAGAAGGTGGGTGAGTTCTACAGTCTATCTAACGTTGACACTGTCTTTGGGCTGGAGTACGTTATCCACAGTATCATTTTGGCAGGGCTGGCCAAGATAACACAAATACAGAAATACATACTATCAAAATAAAAAAAAAAATCAACCAGAGAAACCCAGAAGCAATCTCCCTCAAGTCTAATCCCACGGAGAAGCAAAGGAACCCCACCTTTGTGATGTCTTCACAGTCTTCTGAGGAGGTAGGGGGATGCCTGTGGGTGGCTGTGTAGGAAGCAAATTCAGCTTGTAATTTGATCAAAGCCTCCTCACGCTCCAGAACCTGTAAGAGGTCGCAGGCCAGTCAGGGTGAGCGATCAGTAACGCACACACACTTGGTTTTGCAGTGGGCTCTTCCCTGTGGCATAGATTAGTGGCATAACCACAAACATAACTACACAGTGCCTTTCCTGTGGGCTTGGGATAGAGAGGGAATTACACTGTCAGTGGCCTCACTTTGGATCCTTTCTGAACTTCCATGCTTCATAAGGTCTGCTTTAGGAAGAAGGCTTAGGGAAGGCTATGGGAAACACATCTAATTTACCAGTGGCCAAGAGCGATGGCTAAGGAAGTTTCTTGTGGAGTGGGTGAAAGTATAAATACTTCAAGGAAAATTAAGGAACACAAAATTTGTGTTCCCTGTATCTCTTTAGAATATTGAATTGAATACAGTAGGACACATGCCACACCCCCCCAAAAATATGATCACGAGGCAGGGTCAAATTTATGTGACATTTGAGGAGTCTTGGCTAAAGAGATTAGGTGACTCTCTCCCTTCTCCCTTCCTCACGGCTCTACGGGGAGTCTGGTAGGACAGTGTTGCAAAATGAGGCTTGTACCAAAGAGTTGCTGCAGGCCAGTTTATTCCGAAGCTCCTGGATTAGGTCATCCTGCTCAGAAACCTTTTGCCAGACTTCAGACAGTCGCTTCAGGGTCTCCTGATGCTCCTGAATCATGCACGGGGAAGTGTAGATTCGAACCTTCGAGTGGTCGCCTTTGTTCTCAGAGTCCTGGGACATTTAAAAACAATGAATGGGCTTTGTTTGGAATTTTCAAGTTAACTTCCGAGTCTTACTAGATGTTGCAGGGTATTTGATCATACTGTGAACCCAAAGATTGTGCTATTTACTGAAAAAAAATCCTATGTTTCTAGTGTTCTTAGCACACACTTTTAATTCCTCTGGCTGGAATACAGACAGGTCCTTAGGGCAAACCCATCCCAAACAATGCAGGTATAGTTTGTAGAAGGAAACACCTGTGCTTGAAAGTGATGTCTAGTTGAGAGGCAGAAAAAGTGATGAATCAGAAAGATGAATAGGATATTCCTAACTCTCACATGGAGAGAGGGGAAAGGGATGCTACTTGAGGGGTCAGTGCAGAGACGGGGAGGAAGGAAAGAGGCAGTTTTACAAGGAGAGTTGTAGAGAGACAGGTCGCAGAGCAAGAACAAGCTAAACACTAGAGAAGACAGAATGAGAAGGAGCTAGAAAATCAGAACAGATTTCCAAAGTTAGTATCTGGTCAAGCAGAGCAATTCAGGACAGGCCGAGAGAGAGGGAAAAAAAAAAAAAACCAGATTGAATCAGTCAGCTGGGAGAGGAGTTTGAGCCAGATCAGCTGAATTGAACCAGCCAGAGATCGGAAAGAACTAGGAATGGGTGAGATTATTCAGCAGCAAATCTCAGAGGCTGAGAAAACATTCTAGGCCTAGGCAAGATTGTATGGAGGCTAGAAGCTTCCAGACCTAGGCCTAGGTTAGCAGACTGAGGTAGTAAGCCTCAGAGACAATTACTACAGGAGAATAAAAGTTCTGGTTACAAGTAGACTCAAGTCCTAAAAGTATATGTTTACCTTTGGTTAGAAGAATGTCCTTATCAAAAGAAAAAAATATCAACCAGTGCAGACTCAAGATGAAAGTCCACAGCAGTCTTTAAGAGCATGCATCTGTGTCTTCTGTGACTCAGGTCCCTCCCCTGTGACACTCTGTGTTACCAATGTTTTTGGTAGCGGTGAGTCAATGTTCCAGGCATATCTGGATAGTTTGCTTTTACAGATGAGTGTTGCTGCACACTGTTTTAATGATGTGCTCACGTGACAATCTGTTGAGGATACTTTCCATACTGTTATTTGTAGATCTGTTGTATTCTCTGCCCCCTCTCTTTGTGTGCATGTGTGCATGCATGCAGATACATGCATGTGTATGCTCATGTGTGTGGAGACCAGAGGTCACTACTGGGTGTCTTCCTCAATCAATCCCTGATTTATTTTCTGAGACAGAATTTCCTCCTGAACCTGCAACTCACTGATTTGGCTGGACTGGTTGGCCAGCAAGCCCCAGGGATTCTCCTGTCTCTTTCTTGGATGCTAGATTACAAGAATACTTTCAAGGTTGACTTTTTTTACTCGACTCCTGAGACTCAAACCTGAGTCAGCATGCTTGCAGGTTAAGGACTTTACTGAGCCATCTCCTCCAAGTCTATCTTATTCTTTTTTTTTTTTTAAAAAAAAGATTTATTTATTTTATGTATATGAGTACACTGTTGCTGTCTTCAGACACACCAGAAGAGGGCATCAGATCCCCATTACAGATGGTTGTGAGCTACCATGTGGTTGCTGGGAATTGAACTCAGGACCTCTGGAAGAGCAGTCAATGCTCTTAACCACTGAGCCATCTCTGCAGCCCAGCCTATCTTATTCTTAAATTACTTTCAAATTACATAAACATTGTATCTGTCTTCTCTCTACACCGAGACCTTGTCGGCAAGTGTGTGTTTCTCTTTGTCTCCCCCTCTAGTACTGTACCCTCTCCAGTTTTCAGAGAGGACAGAAAGTACACATCCTCCTAGAACTTTTATCCCTGGGCTGACATGATAAATGAATCTATAGGATAACGGGTTGTGTTGGATTTGTAAGATGTGACAATGGATTTTGAAACTTAAGATGTCTTAGAGATTTACTCATGGTACGTGGGCTTCCGTTCTGTGCTGTTTTTCAATTGCTTTAAAATGCATTTAGCCAGTTTCTTGTTGATGGGCACATGGGCTATTGGTAGTTCTTTTCTAAAACAAAAGTGAACTGAATACTTTTGCGCATCAGTCTTTGAGTACCTTTTGGCAAGTACTAAACTCTTAGAATTGGGACTGTAGTCTGAGGCCCAAACTGAAATAGATATTATATAACTGTCCCTCGAGAAGGCTAGAACAGTGGAGACTCTCATCAATAGGACTGTTTGCCAGGATGTTTTTTAGTGTGTGTGTGTGTGTTTGTGTGTTTGTGTGTGTGTGTGAACATGCATGCAAGTGTCTGTGGTGGCCAAAGGAAAACTTGAGGGGTCACCTTTAGGAACGCTTCCCACCTCCTTTGAGACAGGGCTTCATTGGTTAGAGTGACTGGTCAGTGAACCACAGGGATCTTCCCATCTCTGATTTCCCAAGCTGGGATTGCAAGCTAGTGCCACCACATTCAGCCTTTTTACATGGGATCTGAGGGATCGAACTCAGGTCCTTGTGTTTGCAAGGCAGGTGCTTTCCTCACTGAGCCACCTCCTCAGCTCCACTATATCTAAAAAGTTTCCTTAGACAGCTGAAATCATGCATGAAGTTCATTAGTCATCTAGTAACGGGGAAACCGAGGCACATAGCTAAAAATAGCTCAGAGTTCTAGAGTGGATGGCAGGCCTCGTCTCCCTAACTCCCAAAGCACTCTAATTTCAGGGAAAGTTGGAAATAGTTCCTGTTCACTGGGCGTGAAAGCTGCCCCTGAGCAAGCTGAAGAAAGGTCAGCCAGGAACCCAGAATTGATCACACATGACGCTCACATAAATAATTTAGCATACAGGAGGCAAAGGGTTGGAAAACATAATAGAGAACAGAAGACACAGCAAGAAAATCCCTATGGGTTCTAATATCATCTCCATACTATAGAATAAAAATGGAAATTGAGTTAAGTCATAAAAGAAAAATTCTTGAGTATAGATCATTGGGTGAAAAGTAGAGTTAAGCTTGTGATAAAGATGAGACGAAAACATCTTTAGACTGTCCTGTCCCCCGGGTCCAGGGGAAAGAGATGACCTCTGACCTCTGAAACACAGGATAGAGATTGGCATCACCTGCTGGGCTTTGGTCCTTGAGCAGCACAAAGTGGCTCAGCAAGGCTTTCAGAGACCCCCCCCCCACAGGGAAGACGATTTGGTTAGTTTGTACATCCAGCTGACTAGCATTCGAGATTATGTCCAAACAATCTTTGGACAGACAGGACAATGTTGAAAAAGCTTGCCACTCACAACCATTTTTGGAAGAATTGAGAAGAAATTATTATAGGAAAAAGGAAAGTCTGAGAATGTGGGTTGGGTAGAGACCCCGATAGGCACAAGGATGAGCAAACACTGGCGTCATTTGTCATCTTAAAGAAACAGCCGTTTCCTCTGAGACGTGAGCTGTTGTAAAGCCTTAGAAAAGTGCTGAAAGCTCCTCACTCATCTTAGGATCACAGATGTCAGAGACGAGAGCACGAGGGGCCGGGGTCATAGCTCAGGTGGGAAGCTTTGCCTATGTGCCAGGCCCTGGGTTTAATTCCCAGCCCCCCAAAAAATAAATAAATAAAGGTAGACAGATAGATAGTTATATTGATAGATATTTTAAACTGTCAAACTAATCTTCTTTAAATTTAATTAAAAAAATGTTTTAAAAGTGACATCACAATCAAGTAGAATTTATCCCACAAACACAGGATTATTCTATATATGGAAATTTATTAACACGAGGACATAATTATCCATTTCGTTAAAGGACAGGTCTAGCCAAAGCTGGCCTTAAATTTCCTTTGTATCCCTGGCTGGCCTTGAATTTACAATTTCCCTGCCCCAACCTCTCCAGTGCTGGGATTATAAGGATGTGCCCTCATGTCTGGCAGTGACATAAACAGTCATACCTTCAGCTTGAGAAAAGCTTGCTAGCAAAAGACTGAGACCATGCTTAGTGGTGAGCTCTAGAAGGAAGGTGTTCTGGAAGGCGGCTCAGTCCAATGAGAGCAAGCGAAAGCTAGTAAACCCCGCCTCCTTCCTCTCTCTTTTTGAGACAGTCTCACTATATAGTCCTGGCTGTCCCGGAACTCACTATATAGACCAGGCTGGCTTCTGACTCACAGAGGAGATTCACCTGCCTCTGCCTCCAAAGTGCTGGATTAAAGGAGTGTGCTACCACACCCGGCTTGAGTAAAATTTGAAGATAAAAGTGAAGTTTAGAAAAAAAAAATCCATGATGCTCAGTTGCAAATCTAGCAAGTAAGCTTGGTAAGGTGTCTGGTAAGAGATAAATTCTTCTATATACCCATAATCATTCTTTTTTTTTAAGTATGTATGTGTGTTTAGCCTGCATGGGTATCTGTGCACCTTTGTGTGCAGTTCCTGATGAGGACAGAAGAGGGCATAAGATCCCTGGAAATGAAGTCAGAGACAGTTGCAAGTGGAGGGAATCGAATCGGGGTCCTCTGCAAGAGCAGCTGGCATTAGTGGTCCTAACTGCGGACCCACCTCTTCAGCCCCATAACTCTTAAGATTACATATACAGAGAAGTTCCTCTTCAGGCTGGACATAGTAGCACTATGTAGCATATTCAGTCAGCACTCAGAGGCAGGAAGATCTCTGTGAGTTCAAGACCATCCTGTTATAGATAGAAGATTCCCGGCTAGCCAGGACTGCATAGTGAGATCCTATCTCAAAGCAAGCAAGCAAGCAAGCAAGCAAGCAAGCAAGCAAGCAACCAAACAAACAAAACCTCCTATTCATAAAACCAGGCCTATAAAGGAAAGTGTAAGCCCTTAATGAAAGCAAATGAATAAAATCACAACACATTATGCTTCCCAGGGCTCGCTAATCTCCCACAGTGATATATAATGTGAGCGTTAGGCAGCGTATGTGTGAATTTCATCAAGAAGTCAAAATGCTTGAGAAAAGTTTGAAGTACACAGTGAAGGAGGAGGGGCTACAAGGTACTGTCAACAGGCTGTCAGTCATAGACCCTGAGAAGCTCTGCCACAGGCAGGAGGAAGGTAAATAAGAGAGAGGCCTGAGAACCTTGTGTACCTCAGCATGGTTCCTGCAAGTGGACGCTTCAATTAGTGGGGGAGGGTTGGGATGTTCAGCAAATGGTTCGGGGACCCCAGGAGAGTCACTTACATAAGTGTAAAATTAAAGCCACGTCTCATTTCCTATGCACATATGGACTGAAAACTAAAGACATAAAATTGAAAACTTACAAAACTAATAAAAAAGAACACTTTTTATGATCTTAGGCGTCGAGGAGACCTTCCAAAGCAAGATGTAAAGCTTGACTCTATAAGGGTGTGTGTGAAGGGGTTCAACTCCACAGATGTTTAAAGCGTGCACATGGTAAAAATGTCCTTAATAAAACCAAGTGAAATGCTATGGGCATTGGGGAAATACTTGCAACATAGCAAAGAATTTTTATTATAGATAATAAGAAGCTCCCATAAGCCAATACAAAAGGATTAAAACTACTAATTCAGTGGAAGCCAGATCCCTTTGGTAGTGAAAAGCTTCCTAGGGATTCTCGTCAGCTGTTGCAAGGGCTGCTGTTAGCTGCAGGCCATGTAAGGGCCTTTCCTGGCCCTTGAAGAAAACTGCTTTGCCCAAGTCACAGAGGGGCAGCCCACACTCAGTAGTTGATAACTTGCAGGTGGCAAGGTGACCTTTTCCTCAACTCCAGCTCTGGGACTTCCTGCAGCTCCCTGTCTCTCTTTGGAGTAGGCCAAGGCCTTTGGGACACTGCAGGGCAGCTTCCCTCTCTGTGTAACTTAGCTTTGCTCCTCTTTCTCCTGCAGGCTAATGCCAAGATCTCTGTCTACAAACACTTGCATGCAAATCTACCTGGGCCTTTTCCTGGAGAACCCAACTGACTTCTATTAGGATTAAAAAATAAATAAAAATTGCATTGAAAGTTCCTTGCCCCACTCTTCAGTTTAACACACTTAGAAGGATCAGAAAAATATATAAAGCTTCTTTTACTTACTGCTGGTAAAAGTATTGAATGGTAGAACCATTTTGGTTTACACGGCAATCACTCAAAATGCGCACATCCTTTGATGTAGCAGTCCCGGTAATCACGACTCTCTCTTTCCTCTCTCTCTCTCTCACCCACCCGTTTCTGAGATGGGGTGGGTCTTATGAAGCTGCTTTGAACTCATTGTGTCCTGCTAGGGGTTGAACCCAGGGTTTCAGGGATGCTAGGCAAAAACTCTAACCAGCTGAGTGCTGTTCCCCCTCCCACAACCCCCAAACACCTGGTTAAAAATCTGAATGCGACAAAATTGTATGGCGGGTGGAACTCCTTTGGCGGGAGGTTCAAGTCTTGGGTGGAAGAGACTAGGACCTGTAGAGGGAACCACCCGAGAAATGTTTGCCTGCTGGAGCTCCTGGCTAAGGGGCGTGGCTTAAGTCCTACCTGACCAATGAGTCCGCTGAGCTCCCCCTCCAGCATCTTCACTTGGCACTCCAGTAACTCTATGTTGCTCAGGGAAGTCTGGTACTTGTCCCTGTAGAGGTTTAGGCTCCTTTCTAAGGAGAGAATCTTGTCCCCCGCCAAGGCAAGCTGCTCTTGAGCCAGTTGGAGTCTCTCCCCAATGCTCTTACTATGATTTCCCATCTCCTCCTCGTAGAGAATGACCTGTTAGTGTAGGAGGGGAAGCACACTGCAGCCATGCAAACAGCCAGCACGGAGAAGACCACGAGAGCCCGTACTGAGCAGGTCTCAACTAGAAGCCTAAATGAACAGCATTTAAGTACGGTGCAGGTCTGAAGGCCCCGGTTCAGGGTCGGACTGTGAACGACTAAGTACTAAACAGGATGTCTTACTTAATATCTTCTCTCGTTCTCTCTGAATAAACACCTGATGCTTAACAGGAATGGGTTTGAGCCATTCCCTTTACTGAAAGGCCTTTCCTAGGCACTCTCTAGGGATCTCATTTGGAAAGCATGGAGTCCCACATGGACACAGTTTCATGTCAGCAAGTTCCAAAGAGAGAGATGGGGCCATGATCTGAAATTCCTCTGAGATTTGTGCGATTCTTATGCAAATGATTTTTTTCTAATCTGTCATCCCCTGACAGGAATCTCTAGGATGCTCACACTGGGTGCGGTACGTATAGGAGACAGAGCCTCACCTCTTTCATGGTGTTGAGGGGACTAGATCTTAAATTAGCAAATGATCGTACGTGGCTGAGCGCGCTAAACTGCTTGCCACGTTATATGCGTTCGAAGAGTCAAGGGGAGCATCATCATGGAAGGCTTCCGGTTGCTTCAAACTGTCCAACTCTCGACAGAAATCGGCCCATTAATTAAGCTGGCTAAACAAACTGCTTCATATCTGAGATTCCTCTCAAGAAAGGATCATTTAGTTTAAGGTATCTCTTAGGGCAAAAGGAGAGGGGCATTTGATAGTCACGTATCATAGCAGGAAGAGTTGGTCCTATTCACATTTCTATCGCGCTATTTTTAAACATGTCTGTGAGCATGCATGCACATAAGCATGCATCTATATGCAGTGTGTATATAGAAACAGCTCTGTTGGCGTCTTTTTACATGGGTCTGAGGATCCCTGTAGATAGCGAGCTCTGAGAACTCACTATTGTTTTGCACACAGCCCATTCCAAGTCTAAGAACGTTTGGCTGCTCGCTCTTTCAACCAGAGGGGGAAGATAGGTGAGATGTGTTAGTGAGTGAATGCCCCCAGGAGCGAATACCAGGAGTGGTATTGGATTGGAAAGTTCACTCTGAGGAAGGTTCCACAATACCTTCCAGAGATTTCCCAGGGCTTGAACCCTCATTTGTCTAGAGCAAGTAATCCACTCCGTTCGGGATTTGCCCTTCTTGACCACACCCCCCTCCTGCTTCTTAGAATCACTTCCTAGACTCGGTACATGACTGTGCTCATAGGTTCACCTTAGGGTCTGCTGTTGGCAGAACCCAGCCTTGGATGTGGGTGTGATGCTTCTGTGTTAATGGCATCGAGAGAGGTTGGCAGAATGTTTAGAATAAATTTTGCAGTGCTTTATCAGATTGAGGCCTGGCAGTGACCACTGCCAGAATCTTTCTTCCTAGCAGCTGAACATTTATTTGATTTAGACTGGGGGCCATAATATGTCTCCTTAAAAATGGCATTTCTTGGCTTCCTAGGGACTAGCTGTAGTCATGTGGAGTGTGTGTGTCTGTATGTGTGTGTGTGTGTGTGTGTCTGTGTATGTGTGTGTAACTTTTGGCAAGTGCCCTTAAGAGGAAGGTGTGTACTTTCTTCCCATCTTCCCTTTCACTTGGGTTATTTGGAATAAGGATGTGATTGCTAGAGCCACCTCAGGTGACTGAGGGAATGGATGTCTTGGGAGGATGTGGTGACAGAACTAAAAGACAGACTTCAGGTCTGTGGTGATATGTGTGCAGTTGTCACAACGGCAACAGGTCACCCATCTCTGACTATTGGTAATAGCTCTTTCTGGTCCTTGTTGCTAAGTAGCATCCCAGCTAACTTGAGGGTTCCTTTATCTAAGCCTGAGACTGGCTTAGGGTGTAGAGAACAGCCAGTCTGAACCTTAAGAGCCTTATTAAACCACAGCTGAAGCTCACAGACTTTCCCCAAATGGCATTTTGTGGGATTAGCTTTCTTCCTTCCCCTCCCAGTTATTTCTAGCAAACTCATTCTAGGCTACACTATGCCCTTTAAAGAATGTTCTATACTCCCTCAAAAGCCTGCTTTAAAGTCCTTGGAGTTAGTCTTTCAGCAAAAACACTGTCTAAAACACTCCTCAGAGATTTTGTTAAGCCTGAAAGAAGCAACTGTCAGGGGAAGCCACACCTGAGTCCTGCCTGCCCTATTACATAGAACCACAGTGCTAAGGCTGGCTGCGTCCTTCTTGCTAAACCCATCTGAGTTCTGTGGGTCTTTGGAATTTACTTGGGATTTCATAGGGATGCTGTTCTTTGCTTTAAAAAAAAAAACATTGCCCTGGAGCATCAATATAAGTGAATGTCCAGATGCACTAAGGCTCTACAACTCCAGCCCAAAGAAACAAAATGGTACTCAGTAACCACTTAGAACCAGCGCTGGACCAGAGGCTGGACGTCTTATCGTCTATGCAGCTGACTTTCCTAAAAATACTTGATTTAATGGGCCTTTTGTTCTTTCCCCCCACCCCCTGAGAGACCTGGAGTCTCTTGTATTTTAACAGCCATAACAATATGGAGAGGACAGCCTCTCATGCCACACATGTGTGTACACAAACCCTATACCCCACACCTCATACACATTAACGCTGTTTATCTCAACCAAGTCATGCCAGTCCATTTCGTTTCCCTTTGCTAACCTTGAGACCGGTCATGAAGTAAAGAGAGAAGGCTCTTAAGCCCACACAAGGTGGTGCAAAGCCCTCCCTCCCTTTGAAATGTTAGGCAGTGCCTGTGTGCTGGACATACAAGGGCAACCTGGGACACATCAAAGGTTAATCTCATGATACCTCGCCTTCCTTAAGTTTGCAGTGATGATGGAGAACAAGAAGGTCGGAAGTCTGCTTTTCTAGGATGGACTGGTACTGCAGGAGAGAGCAGTAGGAAGCCTGCAGCTCCTGGGTGCGGAACTCCAGTTCCTGCTGAAGGGTCAGCAGCTTCTTCTTCAGTTGCTGGAGTTGCCTGAGATGATACTGCTTATTGGACCTGAAGTCCATTTGTTTGTCTGTGAATACTAATGTCTGAGGTTGCTTCTTGTTCTGTAGCACAGACAGGATATAGAGAAGAAGGTTAGAAGGCCGCAGAGAACACAGCCACTCTTTGGCTTTGATGTTTTCATCCACAGAGAAATTTCTAAACATTTTACTACATCCCCCGAGCACTCTGTCCCTTCCTATTCCTCTTCTGCAAGAAGGAATCTGAAGAAGACAAGACAGTTCTTTTAAAAATCCTGTTATTGCCGGGCAGTGGTGGCGCACGCCTTTAATCCCAGCACTTGGGAGGCAGAGGCAGGCGGATTTCTGAGTTTGAGGCCAGCCTGGTCTACAGAGTGAGTTCCAGGACAGCCAGGGCTATACAGAGAAACCCTGTCTCGAAAAAACAACAACAAAAAAATCCTGTCATTGATAAGCAGTTGTGCTATATTTATAGAATTATGAGAGTGGTCTGTGGAGATGACTTAGTGAAGTGCCTGCTGTATCAGCATAAAGACCTGAGGTCAAACCTCTGAAAGCCAGGTAAAAGGCAAGTATTGCCACCAGGGTCTGTAGTGATAGCATTGGTTAGTGAGAAGGGAGTAGGGACGGGTGGGGATAGGCAGGTTGCCCAATCAGTGAGCTCTGAATTCAGTGAAGACTCAAGAGATAAAGGAATAGTGGAAGACGTCTCATGTGGCTTCTTCATGTATATAGATATATGTACACATGCATTCTACATTCACACACACACACGCATGGCACACACACACACATATGTGCCTGTGTGCAAGACAGACAGGCACACGAGAGAAACTAGAGAACAGTAGTGTGCTTTGTGGGCAAAAGTACCACAGAGCAGAGTGAAGCAGACAGGGGGATGGGACAGGTAGAGTAGAGTGGAGGTTATCATTTCAGAATAAAAGTTTCTTATGAAAAAGTTTATAGAGAAGGTGGGATGAGTTCACACGGGAAGGAGGCAGGATGAGAACAATAGATTCAAGTAGCTGGAATGTTCCAGAGACAGATAACTGCAAGTCTGTAAGACAAGGCGCAAAACCGCCTGGTGGGATCCGAGATGCCTGGGGAAGCTCCAGCCACTGTGCATGTTACGAAGCAGAGATCATAAAGGCAGGAAATCGGTGCCAGGGGAGGTGAGAAAAACGACACCAGGTCCTGTAGGGTAAGGAGGCCACTATGAAGTCCCCAGCTTCTTTCAAGAGGTGATAGTCCACTTGAAAGTACTGTGAAGGGAATTCCATGATCTTTTGTGGAGTTTACCATGGCATGTTCTGCTGAAAGTCAACTGGAAGAAAGCAAAGAGTGGAGAAGTCGATGGATTCTAGATATATTTTGAAAACAGAGCCGGTGGAATTCCCTGCTGGGTTAGATGTTAGACTGTGGAGGAATCATGGCCATCCAAGACAGAGTGATTTTAATGGGTTAGCTGGAGTCACTGGAGAGATGGAGTTTTAATGAAACTTAGCTGAGATCCTAAGGAAAGAAAGCTTTAGTGAGAAGGGCGGTGTAGCAGAGGGAAGGTACAGCCCAGCTCAGAACCAGAAGGGTAGATGCTGACTGTGTGAAGCCTGTCTCACCCACAGGCTTCAGAGTTGAGAAGATGAACAAGAAATGGACCACCACAGAGATATTCAGCTGAGAGGGAGTGATCACTTGGACCAAGAAACTCATGAATGCAGCTGCAGAGAAGGCGATGAGACTTCTCGCCAAACAAAGATGAAATTTGTATTTACAGCATGCAGCCGTGACTGTCTATAGCCATATCAAACACTGAATTGTTCTCAGTCTTCCCAAGCTAGGAGTGTTGCTGGTCTCACAGCTCTTCTGTAAATGAGGCTTGGAGAAGAGACAGTTTGGCATGCATGTTTATGCACAAAGGTGTATGTGACTCTCTGTGTCTGTCTGTCTATCTCTGTGTGCATACCTTTGCACACAGAATACAAATGTATGTACAAGGAAGTCTCCAAGAACCCAAATCCTCTTGTTTACATGGCTAGAGGGACTTTGGAAGCTATGCAGGGGTAGATGACAGGGGGTTGGGGGTAGTTCTTGCAGCTAAATACTTAAAGTGGACTGAGTTAAAAGGAGGTGTGAACATTTTGGGTTAGGGTTGATTTTGAGGGACTTGCTTCAGTGAAGAGAATATCCCCAAGTTCCCTGTTATTTTTGCTCTTATTTTTTCCTCCCTCTTGGCAGTTTGAAGGTCAAGGGTTAGGACCTTGGATCTAGTATGTAACAGATTTGGGTCTGCTTGTCCGCTGCTGGACATGGAAGGCCCCAGCTGAAAATCAGCTGCCATCTCCTAATGCCTATTTGTTCATTACATCTCCTTTTTTCTTATGTCTCCACCTGCTCTTCCTTGTCCAAAAGAATGAGACAAACATTCTTTGAGAGAGGCAAAATTGTATTTCAGGCTTTTCCTCCCTGTACCTGGGAATGCCAGGAGAATTCAGAATTGCTCGTTGGCTTTGAAGCTTCCTGTGGGTATAGAATGTCTTCCCCTGAATTCTGTGTACAAAGCTCTACACTCTGGCAGCAATCCTAATGAGCTCTGAGTCACTTTTCCTCCACAGGCCACATGGAAGTTTTCTGGATTTTACTTTAGTTCCGGTAATTCAATGGACCAGCCAGATAATGGGGGTGTTTTGAGCTCTTGCTGTCCATAGTAAACATAGCACTTGGACTAATATATCTGATGAGGAAGGTCCAAGAACTGCTTAAATCCACAGAGAGGCTGAGATTTTATGGGATGGGAATTTTAGACATTTATACATTAAGAGATACCTATGGGTTTGGAGAAACCAAATTTTAAAGACTATGAGAAATGTCTAAAATTTAGTTCAGACCTACTAAATGTCTACTTATTTGTCCTTATATATTTAAAAATTCACTCTTAACTCTCGATAAGTGTGAAATAATACATGATAGGCTAAATTCATATCTTACTTATTTGTGTGCAAAAGGACAGATTCAGAAAGTCAACCCTACACTTTTTATTGTATGTGTGTGCACAAACAGGAGGGTGTGCATACATGTGGGGCCAGAGGTTGATGTTAGGCGTCTTCCTTAGTTAATTGTTCTGAAACAAGATCTCTTACTGGATTCAGAGCTTGTTGTTTTGATTAAGCTAGCTTTGAGTTCCAAGAATTTGCCATCTCCTCCTGACCCCAGGTGTTAGGCTCACAGATGTGTGCCACCACACCTAGCTGTAAGATGGGTGCTGGGATAAGAATTCAGGTCCCCATGCTAGTACTTTACCCATGGAACCATATCCCCTAGTCCTAGTCTTTTTAAAAGTTTTTTTTTTTCTAGTGAAGATACAGATATTATAGTCTTCCTTGATTTTTGAGATCTAGAAAAAAAAAAAAACAAGTGAGTTTGAAGTGCTCTTCTAGAAGTCATACCAGCTCTTTAGGTGACTGTCCAGCATTGGATGTGACGCTTGAGGCCATCTGGTCTACCAGATTTCTCAGCTAGATTTACACTCTTGTATCAGCCACACACAAAGCTGGAGATCTCTGGCTGCTCAGAGAAACCATTTCCATATTTAGTCAACCTTTCAGTCCCACTGTGGTCCAAGTGATTATAGCTGTTGTTCCTTCCTTGCCTACGAGGCCACTTGATCACAGAAGGAAATTAATTGGCCTGGCATGATTCTTTTTTTTTTTTAAAGTCACATTTGTTACCACCCAATACTTTGTGCTTTGGAAGTAGCTGCTAATTGATTGATGTGAAGTTCTGTATTTTCCCTGATACTGAAGTGAAGCTGACAGGTCTATAATTACCAGGATTGTCCTTTCTTCCTTTTTAAAAAGATGAGCACTTCATTTACCCTTTTTTTTCAGTCTACAGGGACTTTCTTTATCCTCTTGAGTTCTCAAAAATTATCACTAGCAGCTATGTAATAATACCTGCCAATTCCTTAAGCACTCTGAGAAGAATATCATCAGGCCCTGCTGATTTGCCTAGAGCTGGCTTTTCAAAATATCTTTTAACCCTTTATTCTCTCTTCAGCTTGCACGCTCTGCTGTCAAGGTTGGCATTGTTCCAATAATGGTGTCTCTGATGCTTTTCTTTACCCATTCAAGAACTTAGTTTCTCTGTCTTTTCCCCAGTCACTGCCATGAACTTCTTTTCCAGTCTTTGAGGTGTTGAGTGAGCTATTCCCTTGGAGAACCGGGTTAGCCTTCTCTATCAGTAGTGAAGGTTGTCTGTCACTTCCTATGTCATCCATAAACTATGTGTACTTTTCTTGTTGAAGGTAGAAGAGCTGTGTGTGCAAGCGACAGGCATTTTGTTAAAATGAATGATTGTGGTTTAGACATTCTTCTCAGCAGATCTCTGCTTACATAGGATCCATTTTTTAAAAAAGTCCATTTGGAATGATTTTTCTATTCACAGACAAATTCCAAACATAGAACAATTTTCCCATGGATCCTCCTTTGCACTTCCCCAGTCCTAACTTCATATGCAACCAAACTAAGAAATCAACCCTGGTCGGGTGTTAGGAATGAAACTAGATACCATTTTTTGAATATCGTGTATTTTTCCATTAGTTTTTATTTTCTGTTCTAGGATCCAATTCAGGACCACACATTGGAGTGAGCAAATTCATTAAAATTGCCTTCATTACGGATGACTCAAAATGATATCTCACGATAATGCTCACCAGGCTTCTGCTAATCTTTAGTCAACTAATTAGCTTCACTTGAAAGGATAACGTTTGATTTTATATCTTTTAATGCTAAAAATGGTGCCCTCCATACATCTTCAAAAATAGTTCAACAATAGGTGTTCCAGTACATTGGAATGGATAAATTGCTATTAAGGGCTTTCTTTTTCTGATTATTACTTATGTGGTCTCAGCTTGTGTGTACATGTGACATGTATGTTTCTGAGTATGCATGTCTGTGTGCATTTGTGTGGAGGCTACCAGTTGGTATCAAGCATCTTTCTCAGTTGCTGTCCATCTTATGTTTTAAGAAATGGTCTTTCAGTAACATGCAGCAGTTCCTCTTCAGTTTGACTGGCTGGCTGGCAAGGCTCAAAGATCCCCAAGTGCTGAGATTATAGGGCATGACCTGCCACAACATTTTCTAGGAGTACTTTTGATTTGCCGCATCTCCTAGAAGTTCTGAGGATTCAAACTAAGGCCCTTGTGCATCAGAGACTTTACCTACTGAGTCATTTCTCTAGCTTCTGACTTGTTTTTAGAGATGTGTCTTGCTGCATGACTCAGGCTAGCCTATAACTTGCTACATAGGCCATGATAGTCTGAAGCTGGTAATCTCCCTACCTCAAGCTTCCTAGTTCTGGGATTTCAGGTGTGGACTACACCAGTCTTTGATCATAATGTTATTTTAATACCTCTATTGTACGTTCTTTTCTTTCACTTTGAGTCACTATGACTAGGTTGATGGGGCGTAAGGTATGAATTAAAGAAAATGCTCAGTCTTATGGTCAGGCATGTACCCCAAGGACAGTACCTAAAGGGTGAAGTGCCCGTAAGTTCTGCACCCTGGCTACCCTACTTTCAAATAAATCATCATCTTAAAATGATTTTATTTTAAATTGTTAATTGTGTATACTTGTGTATCTGAGTGTGGGTTTGTGCGGATGAATGCAGTAAACATGGTGGTCAGAAGAAGGCGTCAGATATCTTGGAGCTGGAATTCTGAGAAGTTGCTTGCTGCCTAGTACTGGGAATCAACTTCAGTCTTGGGTCGTTTGCCAACAGTGGTGTGCTTTTAATGGCTGAGTCAATTCCCTAGCTCCAGAACTGTATTCTTGTTGCCACAATCTGCTTGTTTCTGGGTTTTGAAGTCTATATATTCTTTGATTTACAGGGTTATGCACTTTCTCTTCCACCACCAGTCTCTCTCCTGTTTCTTTTATTATACATAACATCTGATAGAATATTTTAGTTTTCTTCCTTAAATGTGGTCCTCAATCATGACCTCCTGCCTATTTCCCCAGCTCCTCATCAGAATTAGTCAAAATTCCAGAAAGCCTGGTGTTTCTCCTTTGTCAACATAGTACATTTCCCATGGAAGGCAGGTCTTAACAGGGTTTTGAGAAGAGCAGAGGTCTGAGTGTAATTGTGTATTTGTATGCATAGTCTGCAATTTACATTTTGTGGCTAAGTGCTAGGGAAAAAAAAAAAAGAGAGAGAGCTTGTTTTAAAGCTTGTCTCAAGCTGTTAGACCTTCTCCTAGGCAATTAGAATAATAAAATGCAATTTAATGCCTTTCTCCCTCTAAGTTGCCAGATACATTTATAAACCACATGGCTTTCTCTGACTGGGGCGATAAGTAAACTCGCGATAGCTCTAGTGGAAATATCCTAAAATGTTAATATTTAGAAAGAAATTATGATCATCCTCCCGAGATTGATTTAGGGAAACCAGTGGATTTCCACCCCCACCCCCCTTTGTGACTTCCTGAGGAAGGGGTGGCGAGGCCAGTAAGTGAGGTGAAATTGTTTCATTGATAGGCTATGTAGGCAGCTGCCAAGAATAATGTGAGGTTTCTATTGTCAAGTGACGAGTCCTGGAAGCACTGACACAGGGTGGAGAGCCCAGGTCCTTAAGCCCCAGAACGTGTGGCTACCTACATAGAAGCTGAAGGTCTAACCCAGGGATCCAGCAAGTGCCTGTGTGACCACTAACTTCTTCACATTTACATCCAACCCAGTTTGTAAACAGAAAAGGTGACCACATCTGGTCTCCAATTTGTGTCAACAAATTTAAAGACTGGTGCAAACACTTCCGGTTTAGAGATCCATAAGAGAAAGAGAACCGGAGGTCAAAGTGAAATTGCTCAGTTGGTGAACTGCCTAGACTTCTTGGTTAGTCAGTCTTGAGAAAGATAGCCACGCTGTGAGGTCTGCCCTTTCCACACTCGAATAGGGTTACCAAGAGAGACCCTCTCGCTTGGGCTGTGAAATCAGGCCCTGTGCCAAGAACTTTAAGCAGGTGCTGTTTATAGAAAACCCAGACAAGTTAGGGACTGAGACAATGAAGGGAGGGATGTAGACCAAGCTGGTTAAGACTGGTCCACTGGGCTCAGTCCCATTGAGGAATTCTGGGAGAGAGCCAGCTTTGAGTTGACTTGGACTAAAGGGAAAAAGATATGGTTATTTGGTCAACTTTTCCCTATTTGTTATTGGTTGAGGACTCTCTGGCACATTAGCCTATTGAATGACTGGATTCCAGGCTCCAGAAGGACAGCAGCAAGGTACAGACAGGTAGGGCATTAGGAGCTCCTCTTACACGGAGATGCCTCAGAGCAGGTGCAGTGGCTCTCTCATTGCCATGGCTAATGTGGACGATTGTCTGAGACCCATCCTAGTATTTTCCAGATGAGCTAAATCCAGATAAAGAAAAGGGATACTATTCAGTATCTCGATAATATTGGAAATAGCTAAATTGAAAAAATCCCAAAGATAGGAATAGTTAGTTTCTTCTATACTGGAGTATGTGTGGTATATTTGGTTCTTTTGATGCATGCTCAGTTAGTACTCTGAGTGGCTCACAGTGGAACATCCCCTCATTCCCTTCAGAAGTGACAGCAGTCAAGGGAGCAGAGACAGGCAATGCTGTCCAGTGCCTTACGTGGTTGGTTTTCAGCATGGCTTCCTCCACACAGAGCTGGTTCTCTTGCAAGGTCTTCCCCTGTCTCTTGCAGACATCGTGGAGATTCTTGATGTCCAGCTGCAGGCTCAAGAGCTTGCTGTTCAGGTTGCTGACTTCTCTGTCTCTCTCCCCAGCCTAGGCAGCCAGAAAAACAAAAGCATCAATTATGAACGATCAAGAAAACGCTTGCTTTCCTTCACTTAACGGGTTGACAGGGAGCTGAATTCGCTGGAAATTTGTTTATTGAGCCTGGGCTGTTATTACTCATCTTGGGTAACATTTACACAGGATCCATTTGTGAGGTGTCTTAGAGCCTTGCATTATTCAGACAATTACTTATTTATATTAATTAATCTTCACCACACTGCTCTGGGTGCATCAGACAATTCCCCTGTTTTTCATGAGGAAGTCAGTGCTTAGAATGATTCCAGGCACCCAGAGAACTGTCTATAAATATTAATGGTTCTGCCACTGATGAAATAAACATATCGAGATGTCAAATGAACTTGTCAGGACTACAGTGAATTAGTGATAGAGTTGACGAGGGATTCTGAGATCTCTTAACTTTCTCTTTATCTATTAACCAACCCCCCTCTTGCCTATAAACCTAATGCTTTTCTTTAATGGTGTTCACCAATGGAAGCAAAAGAGAAAGCCCTGGCCTGATCAGTAGGATCTCCTTGTCTTTGATTAGGAGTTAGAGGGGTTAGCTAATTGTTGCTAGGTCAGAATGGAAAGGAGTGATTGAGATCAAAACGGATTGTATAGAGAGTAGCAACTTGGGTGGGGAGGGGTTGGGTACAAAGCAATGGCGGATGTGTGGGCTCTCCATCCAGTGTGGGTAGTGAGAATGTGAGAAGAATTCAGTGGGGGAAGCACTCTGGGGGGGCTCTGCAGGGCTTCCTTCCTAGCTCTGTACTGCTCTCTGTCACATTCCTGAGGAAAGATGGAAGAAAGAGAAAAACTCCCAGGCAAACCAGCGAACCAGCTCACACAAAGGTCTCTGGCTGATGATGTTAGCCTGATCCTACTGGAGATGGCAGAGTATAATTACATCCCAGAGCTGATCTTGATTAGTGGGAATGAAAGCTGAGCTCCATACCAGTGATGTTACTGGCCAAACACTACACCATGCCACTGAGCTCCCAAGCACTTCCAACCTTCTATTTTTAGAGGTGAAGTGTCCTTGGTGGCCTTAAAGCAACTGCTTTAAAAGGAAACCAGGGAAGGACACACAGTAATGGGGCAGAGATCTGAGCCACCTTTCCAAAGTCTCGTAACTTAGAAGAGCTAGGGCTTACGTTCCTTTTCATCGAGGAACCAGGGTTCTGCCGACCTACCACACTGACTTGGCTTCTGAAATACATGAGCCACACGACACACATTCCCATGGAACTGGAGACCTGAGGTGGACATAGTAAATCAGGCATACTATGGACATGCCATCTAACAGACCTCTGAACAGGCCAAGGTGGGCCAGAGGACGGTGTGGGAACCGGAACCACAATGTCAGAGTACCGGGAATCCACATGGTTCCCAGAAGCACTGCTGTCTCAGCTGATTCAATTCATTTCCATTTAATACCTGCAGGTTTTTTTTCTTCTTCCCACTTTACAGTTTAATTAGGTTAACGGCATGGCTCTGTCATTAAAAGGATTTCATTATCTCAAAACTCTCCCTCCTCCTTTTTAGCTCTTGCTCCTCACTCCTCACTTTCAGAAAAATAACAGTGGATGTCAACTGCCCCAAGCATGTAATTACCATTAAGACAATTACTGGGGACTCTCTTAAGAGAATACGTGTAGAGTGGTTTAAAAAAAAAAATCTTGGCATGTAGTCACTGTTTTCTAACTTGAAAACAAAATCCATGATCCCAACAGGGAGCAGCTGTTTCACTGTGGAGTACTTTCAGTTTCTTTTCTAATGGTTGAAGTCCGAGGGATGGCTGTGGAATCTCGGGGGTGGGGTGGGGTGGGAACTGCATGATCAGGATGCTACAGAATCATTTGTATGATCTGTGAGGTAGACGGCAATGCTATGCTTGTCTTACAGGAGAGTCTGAGATTGCTGTGCATGCCAGTCTCGATGCTGAGCTTGTCTTGAGTTGAGGACCATATTCCCTGGTTGTTCTGAAGGAGACATGCCTGCTGAGGGCTCATGGTCACAAGCCAGTGAGACACAGCTTGGCCTTTCTTGAGTCAACAGTTGAATGCACTCTCTCCGAAGTGAAAATATCTTTCTCTCTCCAGGTTGGGCTCCCACTGAATAGAAAGCCTAATGTCACCCCATCCTCCTCTACCATCAAGACTTCAGGGCCAGGCCTTCAGCATCATCTAATTTAGATATTTAGGAACAGCTTGGAGTCTCTGAGGAAATGTCTTCATTCATAAAACAAGAGGGCCAGGATAAATCATCTTCTGTGGAAGGTTCTCTAAACCAGTTGAATAACAAATGTGTTTTGCTAGATGTCAGATGAAATTTGCCTCTAAAATAAAAATGTGACCATTCATTCCCAAACAGCAAATCATCACAGTTCCGAGGTATCAGAGCAAGAGTGAAGGCTCACGAGCAGCAGTGAGCACCTCCCCAGCATCCATTTTTAATGCAGTTAGTTGTAAGAGGAAGCCGTGCTCAGAAACTCAAGAAAGGTGAGTTTTCATGGGGTCCTAATAAATCTAATTTCTTTCTAATACCTTGCTCAAGACATTAGCTGTGAACTATTTATAATCCTATGTACTTTATAGAGAATGAATTCCAGGCAAAGCCTTCAGAGTATCAATATGCATTAGGTATAGATGTGAGCCGACATTTCATCAATCATAGCTCTGTAACCAGTACTAGAGGTAGGAGATGAACCAAGGGCTTTAATGTTGACCCTTGGGTACCGTTGGATAGCATCCTGGATCTCAAGTTGTTAGTGATGGCTGAAATAGCAAACCACTGCAGCTAGGTGAAGTTTCATTTCCATAAGCTGTGGGTTCAGATACCCGGTTTTACTGATACAAGACTCAAACCCGCACAGACTTACATGACATTGGCCAAGCTACCCACCTATAGGCAAAGTAGTGAGTGTTAATACTGCAGTTGCTTCCATGATCATGGTAATTATTGGAAATTCAGTTATTTAATGACAGTTAATTCTGTATTGATTAAATGAGCTTTTTCTTAATTGTTATGCCTTGTCAAGCATATATTTCAAGCGGGGAAGACATTTTTCCCTGACAAATAGTTTCCCGTATATTCCCAGGGAGAGCTGTGTCAAACTTAGGCTCATGACTCAGCAGCCCTTGGAGAGCTAAGAACATCTAGGATTCAAAATGGTAGCATTCTCAGGCTTTAGGAACCTGAAGGAGGCTTGGAAAAATTGTGGAGTTGCAGTTCCTAAGGTAACTTTATAGTCAAATGGTAAACCAGTTAACTGTCTCTGGGAAATCATTTGTCCAAGGACAAAGGTCAATCTTCAACAAATGATGAAAAACCACTTTTAACCATCACCAATACTACAGCCATCAGACAGATACCATCAGTTCATGGTGAGAGTTATATTTTAGGATGCAGAAAGCTTGGACTGGTGAGGTTATGACTCTGGCTGCTGAGCCTCAGCTGAGTTTGAGATCAGGGACCCACATAGTGGAAGTTGTTTTCTGATCTCCACCTTGCCCCTCTAAATAGGTTATCAGAAAGGCAGCTAATGTTGCTTCAAAAATTTTTTACATTTTACTTGTAATAATTGAGTTTACAGTTATCTATAGCAATCCCAAATGTGAACACTGATCTTGCTGACTTGGGACTGAAGTCCCAGGTTCACTGTGATAGAAACGCTACAGTTTTTGCATTACTTTAGATGGAAATGAATGGAAAGCCATTCAAGGTTTTGCCATGTGAGCACAAATTTTAGAAACAGCTCTACTCACATAACAAAGACTATGGACATGTTACAGTTCTGGATCCAGTGACACTAGCACGCTGGGCAAGTAGGTACTTTAAGACACACGAGGTCACCGGGAAGTGGTGGCGCACACCTTTAATCCCAGCACTTGGGAGGCAGAGGCAGGCAGATTTCTGAGTTCGAGGCCAGCCTGGTCTACAGAGTGAGTTCCAGGACAGCCAGGGCTACACAGAGAAACCCTGTCTCGAAAAACCAAAAAAAAAAAAAAAAAAAAAATAGACACACGTGGTCTGTGGTAGATACTGGCTACCTGTGGAATGTTGATGCTTTTTGTTGGCACTTCATATCACTTCTCCCATCATGTCCTGAGGGGGCTACTCTGCTAGAAGGTAGGGTCCAGGAGAATAGGGATCTCTATGTTGTTTACTTCTTGAACCTTCAAAACAGTGCCTGGCACATTGGAGGTGTTCCAAAGACATATGTTAAATGAAAAAAAAACAAACAAACCAAAAAAACAGTAGCCTAGAAAATGTATACCAGGCCCTTGTTCCCAAGTAGGACTAGCAGCAAGTCCCATATGGCAATAGTAACACGGCAGGAAAGCAGCAGAAATGTTGGTTTTAGAAGCAACTTCCTTCTTGGTGGAAGCATGTGCCATGTGAGACATCTTTACACTTATCCCAATGGACTTTTTCCATCCTATGGGGAACAGTTAAGGAATATATACACAGAATCTGGCCAACACTTTATTATACAAAGCAGAAAACTCCATTTTACAGATCCCTGCCAGATAAAGTGAAATGTTGGCAATAACAGGAAATGTCTGGGGCTGGAGGGATGGCTCAGTGGTTAAGAGCGGTGGCTGCTCTTCCAGAGGTCCTGAGTTCAATTCTCAGCAACCACATGGTGGCTCACAACCATCTTTAAGGAGATCTGATGCCCTCTTCTGGCTTGCAAATATATATGCAGCATTGTGCTCACATTAAATAAATAAAAAAAATATATGCACATATACACATACACATACACAATGTCCATTAGGTGCCTTTTGCACACAGCACCTGATAATCTACCTAGCAAGCATGTGAAATACGTGTTCATCATCTCTATTCTTCCTGAGGAGGCTCAGGGAGAGTGGGCAACATGGTCTGAGTCACTCTGCTGTTAAATGTGGACCCCAGAGCTTCTGAGACTCGAACCGGGGCTCTTAAATCTATGTTCTGATGTCGCTCTCCCCATGGTGTTTCGTGATGCTTATACCTGGAACTTGGAAGCATGGAGCTTGGAAGCAATCCCCTTCAAAAAAGATTCACCTTCACGTGAGCAGGCAGTTGGGAGCCTTACCTCATCTTTCAGTCCCTTGGCAGTTTGCAAATCTCCTTTAAGCTTTAGCATTTTTGTAAACCTGAAAAAGTCCAAGTGTTAAAGATGGAAAAAGCATAAATGATTCCATCCCTTCAAAGGATTTTTTTTCCCAGTTGGATCTATGCCCTTGGCAGGGGAGTTGGAAAAATCTCCTAAACTGTTAACAATACCCTGACTTTCCTACCCATCTGTATTTTCACATGGGTTAAAACCTCTGTGAGGGAGGCAGGGCCATAGTTTTACATCTTTCCCAGAAAACCACTATGTGGTAGACCAAAAAGTTCCTGAATTCACTGTTCTAGGGAAGAAAAAGGGCTGAGCTGAACTTTCTTTCTAGATGTCCATAGGTCAGACCTAGTTTTTTTATGGACCACACAGGATGTATATGACCTGTTCCCATAGTAACTCAGGGGCTGGGTGGGGGCAAGAAATACTAATATCCCCAGCACCTAGGGACGGAAGGAAACTTAGGCCCGGAGAGGTTAAGTAGCTTACCTAAGGTCACAAAGATTTTCTTACTACTCCATGAAGCTTGCCCACTCATTTTACCACAACGACTACAAAATGCCCAATGATAGGACTTGTTTTTGAAGAACAGCTTGCCATGGCAGGGATTATAAAGTTAGAAATCTTGTGAAGTGATGAGAATTATCTCGATTAAAAAGCTTCCAGTGAAACCAAAGATGGCCACACATGTACTGGTGTGTAAGTACAGGATGATGCGGTTGAGGTCACAATGCACTGGACTTCTCCTAAAATAATCTCACTCATTATGTTCTTAACTATGGGGCTGGAGGGAATTTTCCACAAGCACTTACCTGCAGAATGGTTCCAAGAATGAGGAGCCACCAAATACTCATTCTTTGTAATAAGCTACATCCCCCATCCCTAATATAAGCCAAGAAGAAAGAAAGGCTATGAGGTGTGGAACTTGGAATGTTTTATGGAGCTGCATTCTGGTTTTCTGCATTCTGGGTCCTCTTACATCTTCGTGCACAGAGATGCATCATGGGAATGATGACATCGCTCCATCTTACCTGGTAAGGCTAGGTTGGGTGATTTCACACCAACAGACCCCAACTCTCAATGGCTTAAAACAAGAAGGGTTGCTTTTTGCACGGGCTACCTGTGCTTTGTGAGTCGTGTGGCGCTCTGTCCCACATTGTCCTTACTCGGCTCCTTATTTTCCTCAGTTAGTGGAACCCCTATTATCTAGTACGTGGTCTGTTGCCATGACGGCAGACAGGTAACATGGTGAAGTACACATTGGTTCTTATATAAAGTGGAAGTGGAGCACTTTACTTCTGTTCACTGGTCTAAACAAATTACATAACCACACCTAACTTCCTTTGATCTCCAAAAGGGATATTAGCAAACATCACAAATAATTTCCACACTAGGCAAGCCAAAAAAAGGTTAAAACCATGTGAATCATGTCCCATCGGAAGGCCTCATCTCTCTGAGTCTTCATCTTTGCCTCTGGAGATAAAGATGCTTTAGTAAGTGACCTGCCTGGTCTGTCCTAGCTCTCAACTTCACCTTGCTCTTCTATCTTGACAAACACCTTTATTTGGTAAGAACTATAAACTCGGTCTGAGTATCACACACTAAAAAATGTGTTCTTGAGAATGATATCTCTCTACAGGAAAGTCCTCGGGGTTATCAGCAGATGAGTCTCAAAATTGTATATAAAATTAGGCAGAAAGAAAAACCCACACAAATAATTTTCTAGATTGCCTTGCTTTTAAAGAGTATTTCAAAGGGAAATTAGAAGGCGTCGGTTTCATTATTCACATGAAACATACCAGATTGTAGCAAGTAAAAGGTCAGAGGAAACAACAATGGAATTTTGTTCCACAAGGAAGACACGGGGCTCCCATGAGTCATTTGTAATAATGGTGGTGGGCAGTTTGGAAGTACTTACGGTTGAGAGGAAGGAAGAGTTGTGTGGTACATTTTAGAGGCACTTCACAGTAATGTTTGCCAGGTGGATAAGACAGGCAGCATAGAGGGAGGTTCCGTACTTCATAAGTAATCATTTGGAATCCTCACAACGCCCTTTCAGGAGAATGTCTGACAAACCTTTTATGTAGAAGGAGACCCATCCCAGAGGGAATAGGAGAGTCTACCAGATACCTGGTTACTGTTCTTTTGGACCCAAGACTTCTTCAATGTCATCTCTTCTCAAGTCCCTGATTTCATCCCTTTGTCTCTGTTGAGCCCATTGTTTCTTCATGCCTCATCTGTTACATTCGCCCAGGGAACTATTTTCTCCATGTCAATGTCTTGGCATCTTTTTTCATGTGTTTTTCTTGGTGTCAGCTGTGCCCAAGGGAAAAATGATTCATAATCTAAATAAAAACTCAGAGGCCTGTGAAGATGGACTAGTAGGTAAAAGCAGTTGTCGTGCAAACCTGATGACTGGTGTTTGGTCCCTGGGACCCATGTTAAGAATGAAAACAGCTGGATATAGGGCACGCATCTGTAATCCCAGGGCTCCTATGGTTAGGTTAGACAGCTGGAAGCTTCTGGGGCAGCTAGCCTGGAACATGCTACAAGAGAAACAAAGAAACCCCGTCTCAACAAGTAGAAGGTAAAGCCTGACCAAAAGACAGAGGTTGTCCTGTGTCCTCCACATGGCATGCATGTGTGTATATATGCACATACAGTTTCATGCACACACAAAATAAATACAAGTTTAGATATTTGCTCCCTCATCAACCCTTTCTCAGAGCACTAATCTATGCATGCAAGAAAAAATACTTTCTCCCACTTGGGAGTCAGCTATGAACTCAGGTAGAGAAGAAAAAAAATCTAGTTTTCATTCTAGAGTCTCTTTTTTATGCTCCGTTCTACCACTCAATGGAAATTTACTCTGAGTTATTTCTAAGAAAGTGTCATTATTATCAGGTAAAAATTAAATCATATATATTTTTTAAACTTTTAAAGTCTCTTTAGAGTGTGCCTAAATTCTCAGGTCCTGGAATCATGGGGGTGGCAGCTTCTGGTTCATGGCCACGGGTCTCGCTTAGCTATAGTGTGCTGCCCTGTCTTCGTCTGGAGCAACACGTTATATATTGTATCTTCCTTTCCTATAGGCTTTGAGTCGCTTAATACCATCTCACTCTTGGAGGCTTGTGTTTTATGATTTTGACATATATAAATATTTGATATGTGTATATATGTTATATATATATGTACATATATATATATATACACACACACGTGCACACACACACACACACTCTCAGCTTAGCTCTTCTCACAATTGCCCTACTCAAAGTCTGTGTTTTGCCTTGAAGATATATAGGATCCAGGCTCACTTAGCCCACTGTGCTCAGCTCTTGTTGGAAGTCATTGTTTCCGTCCTCGTTGGCCTCAGCTTATGTCTCTCACTAGGACCCAATCTTTGTTCCGACTAACTCATCCATTGCTTTTCTTAGCCATTGTTTAGTTTTGGGAAGAGGAAGGAAAAGGTGAACATGTGAACAAATGACACAGAGGCACATATCAGGCGGGCTTTGAACTCCCTATGTCTTCCAGGCTGGCCATTCATGTACAATGAATTACCCAGCCTCTACCTATGAGTGCTAGCATTACAGGTCTGCACAACTGCACAGGCTCCTTCTCTTTGACCTGAGTAGACTAGATCAAGGACTTATTTTTCCCCAAATAAAATATATTTACTGATTTTCAGAGAAGGAGGCCTTTTCATTTAAAATGAAAACAAGCGTCAGGGGCTAATCAGAATCAGATTTACCTACAGTCAGTTCTAAGTATTCATACTGGGTTTTAGACTGTTCTTCAACATTCTGCATCTCAACAAGGAGTAACTATGAATCTCAGAGACATTAGTTTCCGAATGGATGATAGGATGGTCAAAGTTTTCTTGATTTTAAAAATATTCGACCATCAGAAATGGACTGAGATACCCTTCGTGAGATAATTTTTTTTTCTATCCAGGATACATGGAAGGAGACATAGTATATAAAGCCTCATTTCTTTGGGTTTAAACCCAGTAATAAAAGAGAAAATCCTTGGTCTTGGAGGGCGTGTCTGATGGGGAGGGGGTGGAGTCACAGGAGCAGTTGATGTAGAAGTAGGTTTTGCTTGGGTGTGAGGGAAGAGGACTCTGGTACTGAAGTCCAGTGACTCTTTCCAGAAAAACTTTGGGATAAAGGAAGAAAGGAGGCATCTGAAGGTAAAGGCAAGTGTTCTAGGATTTGTCAGGACTCTCTGTCCTGGGTTAAAACCTCCCATTTCTTTTGGTACATTTCACAGAGGCTTTAGTTGCCTGTTGCAACATCCACTCTCCTATCTTTCTCAGTAACAGAACTCTAATTTTATTGAAATGTCTACGTACTTACTATAAAACTACATCTCCCAGCATGCCTCCTGCACAGGTACGGCTATGCATTTAATTTTTGGCTAACAAATGATGAACATTACGAGGATGTCTAAGACATCTTAAAGAGAGGAAGTGTACAACTGTTTCTTCTGCCTTTCCAGTCACCTGGGATGCCGACTCAGTGCCTGGCTCACCAGCAGCCATTTGGAACATGAGATGCTCACAGAGATGAAACTCAGGTCCTTAATGATGTGGAATGACCATGCCAGCTCTGAGAGAGAGAGAGAGAGAGCGCAATTTTGGTCTTATTTAAGTAATTGTTATCTCCTTTTTCTGTTTCATGCTATGGAATTTGGAATTTAATGTGGATGGACACAATAATCTTTGTCTATTTTCTTTTTTGGAGAGACTTCTCTAATAATCCACTCTGTTCTAGCACCATGACTAGCTTTATAATGCGTTCTGGACTGGGTGATGGAGAAGTTGCTCTGCTGTTAAGAGCACTGTAGGGGACCTGGGTTCTGTTCTCAGAATGTACAAAATGTAGCTCAAGCTCCAGGGGTTCCGATGCCCTCTTCTGGCCCCTGCTTGTACTGGATACACATGGTGAAAATCATATAAACATGGAGGCAAAACACTTAAAATAACAAATTCTAGACTACATAGAAGACTGCACATTTTATATACTGAGGACAAATCTTTGACATCAGAGCATGACATTTTTGTTTTTTTTTCTTTTTCTACAATGTTTTTTTACATTCTCTTCCCTCAATCCCAATCTCTCCTCTCTTCCTCCCCAGTGCCCCTCCCCCATCCAAGTGCACCTCCTCCATCCACTCCTCCTCCCCTTGTCTTCAGAAGAGGGCAGGCCTCCATGGATATCAACAAACATGGCATATTGCAATGAGACTTGGCACCTCCCCTTGTATTAAGGCTGGATGAGGCAACCCAGTATGAGGAAAAGGGTCCTGAAAAGCAGGAAAAGGAATAAGACAGCCCCTGATCCCACTGTTAGGAGTCCCACAAGCAGACCAAGCTACATAACTGTAACATATGTTCAGAGGTCCTAGGTCAGTCTTGTTCAGGCTCCCTGGTTGTCTGTTCAGTCTTTGTGGTACCTTATGAACCTAGGTTAGTTGGTCCTGTGGGTTTTCTTGTGTTGTCCTTTGTGGGGCAGTGGGCTGTGAGAAGCAGATGGGTACCTGGTTGAGCATAGGCCTCGAACCCCGGATAATACCCTAATGGGACAGTAGGTGTTCAGCCTTGCTCCTGGGCTCTGGTTCCTTTCACTTATCCAAAGCCCCTCCCAAAGAAAGGTTTGTGGCCTTAGGCCACGTAGCACAGGTAATACAGGTAGAGGGTGTGACTACAGGCCGCAGAGCCTCAAGAGATTTTCATATTCATGAGTTACCTAAAGGCCAGAGGTTGTAGCCAATTAAGCACTCCTTCCCAGACCCTCCTCCTTGCAAAAGATATTTAACCTCAGGCCCGCCCCGAGGACAGGGGGTACAGCTTCATCCACTTTCTGCCATGACAATAAACCTTTTAAAA